GCCGTGCTAACTCACCTGCCAGCCACCGAGAGGGTCCCATGCACCCGGGATCTCTCTGCTTAGGGTTTCGGGTTCAGGGTGCACCCTAAACCCTAAACCCTAGGGTCTAGGCCGAAACTTGGGGTTCCTGCAAGAAGGATTATGTATAGCTTTCTGTGCTACATAGGGGTTGGTGAGATACTCGATATGAGCTGTGAGTATGAGCCTGTATCTACATCCGAAGTTCGCACAGGAAGAAAGAAGAACGCAGCTCCAGCGCAACATCTCCAAGGTTTAGGGCGCAGGGTTCTGCAACTGGCTAAGCCCCGAAACCCTGAGCGATTAAGCCCTAAGTAAGCGCGAAGCCCTCAAACGCTTCAGCCCTAAACCCTCAACCCTAAACCCTACGCCCTAAACCCTAAACCCTAAACCCCAAGCCCTAAACCCTAAACCCTAAACTGGAATCTGCCTCGGCCGACTCTGCAGCTCCAGCATGGTGTCCTGGCTTCGGTGTTAGGGGGTAGGGGTTCAGGGTTCAGGGTTCAGGGTTTAGGGTTTAGGGTTTAGGGTTTAGGGTTTAGGGTTTAGGGTTTAGGGTTTAGGGTTTAGGGTTTAGGGTTTAGGGTTTAGGGTTTAGGGTTCTAGGGTTTAGGGTCTAGGGTTCTAGGGTTCTAGGGTTCTAGGGTTCTAGGGTTCTAGGGTTCTAGGGTCTAGGTTCTAGGGTTTAGGGTTTAGGGTTTAGGGTTTAGGGTTCTAGGGTTCTACCTTTCTAGGGTTCTAGGGTTCTAGGTTCTGGGTTCTAGGGTTTAGGGTTTAGGGTTTAGAGTTTGGGGTTTGGGGTTTGGGGTCTGGGGTTTGGGGATTAGGGTTTAGGGTTCAGGGTTTAGGGGGAAATATAGGGGCCTGAATAATTAGAATAGCGTTTTTGTTGTTTTTCTTTTTTGGGGGAGGGGGGGGGGGTTTGTAGTACATTGATAAAGGGACCCTAAGGGAATACGACCAGCAGTTGTTTCGACCCCTATAGTAGGGGATTCGGGGGCGTTTAGGGCCAGTAGGGCTCAGGGCATCGAGCCCGAACCCGAGACCCAAAGGACGGCACCCATCAAAACCAGAACCGCAAAACCACAGCCCTAAACCCTGAACCCGAAAACCAGACCCTGGGAGGCCAAAAAAGAAGATCCCGTTAAGGGTTCCTAAGAATGACCCACAGTAGTAGTAGAGGGTACTCTGGCCTACAAACCCCAACCCCCCCCCCCCAACTAAACCACAAACCCTAAATTCCAAACCCTAAACCCGCAACCCTCAACCCCCAAACCCTTCAACCTCGCAACCAGTGGAGAGAGGGAACATCGCAAGAGTTTGGTTGAAGCTGCTAAAATATTTCTAGAATGAGGAAGAATGGATAAAGATGATGATATGGTTATGTTCGACCATCGATTGAACACATTCACAACTTACAAAATGAAAGAAATTGGGTTTAGGGTTTAGGGTTGGGGGTTGAGGGTTTAGGGTTTAGAGGTTAGGATTTTTGGTTTAGGGTTTAGGGTTTAGGGTTTAGTGTTTAGGGTTTAGGGTTTAGGGTTTAGGGTCACAGACGAGCTAGCGATAACGACCTGTGCAACACCGAATCGAGGCTACGTGGGGTTGCTTGTCCCTCTGGAGGAGGCTTAGGGTTTAGGGTTTAGGGTTTAAGGTTCAGGGTTTAGGGCTTAGGGTTTAGGGCTTAGGGTTTAGGGCATAGGGCGCAAAGGATACCCTTACTTACATTAAGGAAACAAGAACCCTGAAGAAGGCCGAAGCCTATTGCAGCATGGCTACCCTGCGCATGACCCTACTTCTTAGTGTCCACACAGCCTCCAAATACTGATCATCTAGCCGTCAACTTCTCCGAAGAACAAAAAAGTGTTCGGGGGCTTGGGACTTGGGCACCCCGCATCAATCAGTGCAGTGTTGGTCCCGAAAGCTCTGGCGAAACGAACCCCCCCCCCCCCCTTCAGCCCTAAACCCTAAATCCTACACCCTACGAGGAGTCTCCAGAACCCACAGCTCCAAACTCAATTAGGGTTTAGGGTTTAGGGTTTAGGGTTTAGGGTTTAGGGTTTAGGGTTTAGGGTTTAGGGTTTAGGGTTTAGGGTTTAGGGACGTATTTTCCCAGAGCGGAGCACGGAAGCCCACCAAAACCACCCCAACCCTCCGAAGACCCTGAACCCCAAGACCCTAAACCCTAAACCCTAAACCCGAAACCCTAAACCCTAAACCCCAAACCCCAGAGCCTTGATCTGCTGAAACTGCAATTCCTCGCAGTTTGGGACTTTAAGGCCTCAGGTCCTTTGAATTCGGGGCTTAGGGTCTAGGGTTTAGGGTTTAGGGTTTAGGGTTTAGGGTTTAGGGTTTAGGGTTTAGGGTTCAGGGTTTAGGGTTTAGGGTTTAGGGCTTAGGGTTTAGGGTTTAGGGTTTAGGGTTTAGGGTTTAGGGGGCCCAACAAACCACGTAAACAGAAGGATTCTACAAACATGGCTTTCCAGAATCCCCTTAGAGGGCCCCTTATACCTCAATAGTAGGATCCTCAATATTTCTGCGGTTTTGGGACCCCGAATCATTTGTAGGGCTTGTAGGGTTTATAGGGTAGGGCGCTTGTATAGGGTTCATGGGGCTTGTAGGAAGGCTTGTAAGGCTTCTGGGGTTTCTTGGGTGTAGGGTTTTAACTATAATTCTAGGTTGCTGAAGGGAGGGGTTTCAAGGGGATGCAACCCAAGGTTCAATAATACTCCACACTACTACCTAAGGCTCCCGAAGATTCCTTGGTTGCTGGGTACGGATTCCACCAGAGAATCCCTGTTTAGGGCCCCCTAGACCCTTCACAAAGCAGCTAACGCCTCCCCCCCTCGAAAAAACAAACAAACAGAACGAAAACCCCGAAAGTCCTAAACCTAAAACTAAGACCCCAAAAACACCTAAACCTAAATCGAGATACCGAACTCAAAAAAAAAGTTAAACACTCTGAACCTCAAACCCCCCAAAAAAAAGAAACACTCTGGAAAACGCCCTTTAGATGAGGCTCCACGAAGGTCTGGAACTTGCCCTGTTCCTTTATCTGCCACGTCTGATCATGGATGATCCTTGCGGTTTAGGGTTTTAGGTTGAGGGTTTAGGGTTACGGGTTTCGGGTTTCGGGTTTAGGGTTTTAGGGTTTAAGTTTAGGGTTTAGGGTTTGGGGTTGAGGGTTTGGGGTTTAGGGTTTAGGGTTTAGGGTTTAAGTTTTAGGGTTTAGGGTTTAGGGTTAGGGTTTAGGGTTTAGGGTTTAGGGTTGAGGGTTCATAGTTCAGGGTTGAGGGTTTAGGGGGTTTAGGGGGTTTAGGGGGTTTAGGGGGTTTAGGGGGTTTAGGGGGTTTAGGGGGTTTAGGGGGTTTAGGGGGTCTAGGGGGTTTAGGGGGTTTAGGGGGTTTAGGGGGTTTAGGGGGTTTAGGGGGTTTAGGGGGTTTAGGGGGTTTAGGGGGTTCAGGGGAGTACTTGGAGTTTTGGGTTTGGGACTCAGGGGCTACAAAAGACACCCCTTCTTGCTGTTGGAGACCGTATCCGTGCTTCCGGCTGTGGAAAAGGCAAAAACCCTAAACCCTAAACCCTCAACCCTCTTCTGGGTTAAGAGTCTGAGGGCTTCGATGTTTAGGGGCCTGGAATGTTTCGGGCTGAAGACTTCAACCGTCGACTGTAACTAAGCCGTCAATCTTAAACCCCCCCAAACCCTAAACCCTAAACCCTAAACCCTAAACCCTAAACCTAAACCTAAACCTAAACCCCACAACTGAATCACCTACAGCGGCAGCTAGCTGATGTTGGGTCCTACCACCATTGAGTGCCTTGGGTTTAGGGTTTAGGGTTTAGGGTTTAGGGTTTAGGGTTTAGGGTTTAGGGTTTAGCGTTTAGGGTTTAGGGTTTAGGGTTTAGGGTTTAGGGTTTAGGGTTTAGGGTTTAGGGTTTAGGGTTTAGGGTTTAGGGTTTAGGGTTTAGGAGGCCCGCATGAGCTGGTAAAGAGTCCCGCCCTTACTTTCGGAGGCTCTTGGGTGCTTATACTCATCCACTTGGGTTAGAACTGGCTGGTTCTTAGTAGGGAAATGGGGGAATGAGGCACCCAAAATGATCCCTTAAAGGGTATAGAGGGGGATGTGGGGTACCTCATTCCCACATTCCCACTCACCGTTTCAAGAGCCCCAAACGCCTAAACCCCACAACATTGGAACAAGGCTCTTTCCGATGTCGATGGCTTTCGCAGTGCCCCGCACGCGCAGGCAGCCCATGAGGAACTCCTAAAGTGATTGGGTTTTAGGATTTAGCGTTCAGGAATGAGGGTTGGGAGTTGTAGGGGGGGGGGGGGGGGGGAGGGGGGTTGCTAGATCCTAACACTTCCCTAGATAGCATTTAGGGTTTAGGGTCTGACGCTTGTTGGGGGGGGCATAGAGTAAGGATCATAGTAGAACCGGGTATACCAGCAGGGTACCCCCCTATTCTCGGACCCCCCACCCCCCCATTTTGTGGAAGATCTTCGCTCTAACCCAGAGCTCCGTACCTTGAAGCAACTTGAAGTTCCTTAAGTCCCACTTGAAGGTTCGCGGGCACTTTTAAGCAGGGCAAGAAGTACCGTGCACCCTAAACCCAGTACTCGAATAAAGCTACAATCATAGTCCCCCCCCCCTCTCCCTCTAACCCCACACTACCCATGAACCTCCCAGTACGGGTTGGGGTGGGAGGGGGTGAAGGCCTTCTGAGGTGCTCCTCAATGATGTACCCATGAAGGGTTCCCTCCCCCTACTTTGGAGGTACATGGGTACCTAGAAGGAGGGTTTAGGATTCCGTGTAAGTGAATGAGGTATAGAACTGCACGAGTTTTGGGTACTTCTTAGCCTAGCGACAAATATCCATGAACTTTCTAGTGTATTGCTACAATGTCTGCGAGTAAATACTACTAGGATTGATACTACTGCTAGAAACAGCCACAGTACCATGAGGGATGCTTCATATGCTGGCTACTCTTCCTGACGTTGACCTTACCATTCTTGTTAACATGTTTGCTCGCTATCATTTAGTACGAAGCCCTAAACCTAAACCCGAAACCCTAAACCCAACATGACGGCGGAACCCACGTCCCCGAAGCAACAGGGATGTGCAAGCACCCTGAAACCCCTAAACCCGAAACCCTAAACCCTAAACCCTAAACCCTAAACCCTAAACCCCAAACCCTAAACGCAAGATTCCAAACTCTAAAAGCCAGGGGTTAGGGTTTAGGGTTCAGGGTTTCGGATTTGGGGTTTAGGCTTCGCAGTTTAGGGCTACACCCTAAACCCTAAACCCTAAACCCTAAACCCTAAACCCTAAACCCTAAACCCTAAACCCTAAACCCTAAAACCTCAGAGCCTAAACCCGAAAAACCCTTGAAGGGAACTGGCGCCATCCTCGATGTCCACGGCACCACCTTAAGAAGCCACCGTTTCAGGGTGTTAGGCTTCCGGGTTTAGGGTTTAGGGTTTAGGGTTTCGGGTTTAGGGTTTAGGGTTTTGGGTTTAGGGCTTCGGTTTAGAGCTTCGGGCTTTAGGGCTTTCGGGCTTGAGGGCTTTAGGGCTCATGATTTAGGGTCAGGGGTCCAGGTTTAGGGTTTAGGGGGTTTAGGGTTTTTAGAGTTTAGGGTTTAGGGTGTAGGGTGTAGGGTGTAGGGTTTAGGGTTTAGGGTTTAGGGTTTAGGGTTTCGGGTTTCGGGTTTAGGGTTCCTCAAGCGTTAGGACCCCTAGGGTAGGGCCGACGCCTAGATCAAACTGAACTGCAGGAGTGGGTCGGCGACTTTGAGCTGCTGGAGATTGTAAGCCCTCAACCCTAAACCCTAAACCCTAAACCCTAAGTCTCGCGTCAACGGCTTCGAGCTGTAGGGTTCGGGCTGCAAGGCTTCGGATGTAAGGACTTGGAGGCTTACACTTTAGGAACTTCAACCCTAAACCCTAAACCCTAAACCCTAAACCCTAAACCCTAAACCCCTAAGTTCCCTAAACCCTATTTGGGGGGTTTAAATCGACAAGGCTGTGGGCGACGAAGTGCCGAGCGCGGTGGGGCTTTTCGCCGAGCTGGCAACGACCCACGCAGAGCCGCTAAGTCATCCCAGAGGCCCTAAACCTTAGAACCCTTAACCCCCAAAATCCTGAACCTTCAAACCCCTAAAATCCTTAAACCCCTCAGACCCTACACCCCTAAGAGCCTAAAACCCTAAACCTTAAACCCTAAACCCTAAACCCCAAACCCTAAACCCTAAACCCACGCCCAGGCACTGTCATCCAGGTCCAGCATCTTGAAAAAAGACCACGCATCCCAGACGTCCTTGGCCATGAGTATCCCGGCCCCCATTGCCCCCTTGTGTGTAATGAAGGAACGAACCTTAGATCCTCTTTAGGGTGTAGGGTTTAGGGCTAAAAGTTTAGGGTTAAGGGTTTAGAGTTTAGGTTGCCCCCTTGTATCCCGGCCCCATTGCCCCCTTGCCAGGATGGCCCTTAAAACCCTCTGAAAAACATTCCTGAATATGATCCTCTTAAACCCAATAAGGGAAAATATGCAATGTCCCAAGGGCCTACCTAGCTTGTGTATAATGAAGGAACGAACCTTAAATCATCTTAAGGGCGTAGGGTTTAGGGTTAAAAGTTTAGGGCTTAGGGTTTAGGGTTTAGGGTTTTGGGCTTTGGGGTTTGGGGTTTTGGGCTCAGGATATAGGCCTACTCGAGATTGAGGTACACTGCTTTAGTTGAGGGTAGTGGCCGCTCTGGGATGTGGCATCTGCCAAAGGCTGCTTCCACTTGTGCCGCACACCCCTAAACTCTAAACCCCAAAGCCTAAACCCTAAACCCTCAACCCAGCCTAAAGCCGACAGCCTGAAGCCTAAACGCTGAACACTCAAGCTACAGGCTCATGGGTTTAGGGTTTAGGGTTTAGGGTTTAGGGTTTAGGGTTTCAGCTCCCCCAAGATACGTTCGTAAATATCATTGTCGTAGGCATCATCCAGCACGACGGCTGTGCCAGCATCTCTTGCTTCCGCTGGGCTAGCGACTCTGTGCACATCATGTTTGCAATTTGCGATGGCAATGGACCAGTAGTCCCAGTCAGCTTCCATATCATCATCTCTGGTGCTTGGGCGAGCCTTGATCTTTGGGGTTTGTCCTTTCGGAGCTCCGTACCCCCTTTTCCAATTCCAATTGGACTGCTTCCAGCCTCCTCCGCTGTTCCATCCTCGCTGGCTCTTCCAATCTTCAATCTTCCAAGAGCCGTCATCATCGGACTTCTTCTTCCAGTCTGAGCTGTAGGGTTTAGGGTTTAGGGTTTAGGGTTTAGGGTTTAGGGTTTAGGGTTTAGGGTTTAGGGTTTAGGGTTTAGGGTTTAGGGTTTAGGGTTTAGGGTTTAGGGTTTAGGGTAAGTAGTGTTATAAGTACCTTCAATAGGGGTATAGGTATAGTTATCATACTTATAACTTATTGCCCATTTAGAGGTTACTCAACTCAACTCCCCCTGAGTGAGTCCTAGCAACTCACACCTCCGGGCTGCTAGGGTTTAGGGTTTAGGGTTTCGGGTTTCGGGTTTAGGGTTTAGGATTTGGGGTTTCGGGTTTCGGGTCTCGGGTCTAGGGTTTAGGGTTTAGGGTTCACGGCTTAGGGCTTAGGGCTTAGGGCTTAGGGCTTAGGGCTTAGGGCTTAGGGCTGAGGGCTGAGGGCTTCGGGCTTAGGGCTTAGGGCTGAGGGCTGAGGGCTGAGGGTGCCTCGATGCTGCAACCGCGCGACGAGCCCAAGAGATTCAAAGTACTCCTTCACCTCCGGGGAGGTGATCTTCTCCTCGAAGGGTGCTTTTAAGAAGAGGGTTTTAGGGTTTAGGGCTTAGGGCTTAGGGCTTAGGGTTTAGGGTTTAGGGTTTAGGGTTTAGGGTATTTAAGAGCCATCTTCTCCTCGAACATGAGGTACGTGATGCCACCGGTGTTCTCCGCCCCCAGCTTGTTGAAAAGGTCGCGCACCTGACGCGCGCGTCTCCAAAGCCCTCGTCATTTTCCGGGACCCCAAAATGGCGTTCATTATTTAAAGCCTTGACTGCAATCTGAAGCTTCTAGGGAACACCAGAATACCCAGATGATTAAGAGTCCTATGAGCCCCAGAGACCCCCTGTTAAAGTGAGCAAGACGAAGTGAACAACAAGTATCATCTCTGAACTTGCGGCGGGAGACCGAAGCGCGAAGGAGCAACTCATGTGGTCAGTTCTCCCTGTTTGCGTACCATATAATAAGGACCCTAGAAAAGGTCCAGATTTTAGAGAACTGACATGTGTCAACATGTCCTTATGGAGAATCCATCCGCTGATCGATCGCTCCTATTGCTGACTCCAAGGCGTGGAAAGAACTTTTCTCAAGGTCTCGATGAGGGAAGATACTGCGTGCTCTCGGGTACTCAGGGTGCTGCATCTGACGCCCTAAACCCTAAACCCTAAACCCCAGAGACATGTGCCCCCCGCCTTCTCCAGATGAGCCTGCTTGTTAGCCAAAATCGAATGGATCACTGTCGCATGATCGTTCTGCGCACTGTCAATCCTTGGTAGCTCAGGAACCATCATATCATGATAAGGGCACCATTTTTGTTGTTGGTTGCTGTATAAGGGAATCCTAGGACCAAAAAAGGGACAAAAAGGGTACCACTTGGATTCCGAGCAGCGCTGTCTGGCAAAAAACACCCGTAATCACCTGAAAATTTTGTCTTTGCGACATGCAAGAGCAATGGGCAAAACCCACAACAAAAACCCTAAACCCTAAACCCTAAACCCCAAACCCTAAAATAAACAAATGCTGCCAAGTTCGTCAAGTCGCATTCAAGACCGCAAAATATGTGAAGAACCTGCCAAAAAGAGCACGCAGGCGCAGTCACAACGTGTGCGCAACAGCAAACAGCATACGCACGTGCCGAACCCTAAACCCTAAACCCTAAACCCCAAACCCTAAACCCTAAACCCCAAAGCCTAAGCCCTCAGACCTAACCCCCAAACCCTGCACCCCCTTTCTACCACCTGCAAGCGCAGGGGTGGGGTGGACGGATGGCGAGATCAACCAAAGAAAACCTAAGCTTCACTCCTCGGGGTTGAAGATCCTAGAACAGACACTTAGTTGCTGAGTTCATAAGCCACAAAAAGTTTGAACTTTCAGTTCTATAGGGGATTTTGGTATCCCAAAAAGTGTAAGGTGTACTCAGCTACTAAGGACAGCAAGATTTTGTTTCAACTGTCTCTTCCACAAACTTTGCAACGCACGATCGATCCTCAGTTAGCCGTAGTTCGGACTAACATCCGATTTAGAGAGAGTGCTTCGGTGATAAAGGAAGAGGAAGAACCGCTATCCCAGCTTGCTTTCACAGACACAAGAAGCAGATGAAAGAGGGAAAGAGGGATGGGAGAAGACTTATCGAAGGTAAAATGGCGGCGGGCATATACGACATCAAACGAAGAATAAACACATGCAGCGACACTCGATATCCTCCACGTCCGCAAGCAATCGAGGAGCGAGTGTCGTCATTTCGAATGCGAGCGGTCTACAAAACAATCTAGGCTCAAGGGGTGCGGTCTAGGGTTAGGGTTGAGGGTTGAGGGTTGAGGGTTGAGGGTTGAGGGTTGAGGGTTGAGGGTTTAGGGTTTAGGGTTTAGGGTTTAGGGTTTAGGGCCTTTAGGGTTGAGATTCTAGGGTTTAGGGAAGGGGTGCCTTGTCTGAGTCGTCGTGTGTGCTGATGATATGGGCTTCTGTGCAGTTGGCGGCTGCTGTAGAGCTTGCAGCCTATTTCTTTTGGGCTTGGGAAGGGGTGCTGCTGGGGGGGGCCATCAAGCCTATGATTTTGGCGAAGTTTGTCTGCTGTGGCGGTATAGCGTTTAGGGTTTAGGCTTGCTACCCTACGAAAACCCGAAATCCTAAACCCTAAACCCTAGCCTTAAACCCCAAACCCCAAACCCTAAACCCTAAAACCTGCAGGGTGACCACTTGGAGCCGAGAGACATGTAACCGATGAAAAGGAGTACCCAAGGCAGCGCAATTGCTTTCAGCGGGAGGATGACTTGCTCCCAACTCACGCCGCCCGCAATGCTCATAAACAGGCCTTGATTTGGGGTTTGGGATTTAGGGTTCAAGGTTCAGGGTTCAGGGTTTGGGCTTCAGGGTTTGGGATTTAAGGCTTGGGGTTTGGGGTTTAGGGTTTACAGTTTAGGGCTTGGGGTTTAGGGTTTAGGGTTTAAGCACGGCCCTATCAGATGTACCCACCAAAGCTCAGCACCCCGACAGACGGAAGGTTGCGGGCAAGACTCTTTGGGTTATAAGTTAGAAGGGTTTAGGGTTTAGGGTTTAGGATTTAGGGTTCAGGGCTTAGGGCTTAGGGTTTAGGGTTTAGAGTTTAGGGGTTCGGGGTTTAGGGATAAGGGTACTTTAGGGTTATTAGGGCCATTAGGGTTATCAGGGTTATCAGGGTTATTGGGGTCATTGGGGTTGTTAGGGTTATTGGGGTTAATAGGGTTATTAAGGTTATTAGGGTTAGGAGGGTTGCTAGGGTTATTAGGGTCATTAGGGTTATTGGGATTACTAGGGTTATTGGGGCCTTTAGGGCTATTAGGGCTATTAGGGTCTTTAGGGTTGTAAGGGCTATCAGGGATATTGGGGTTATTAAGGTCATTAGGGTTGTTAGGGCAATTAGGGCTATTAGGGTTAGGATTACTGGGTTTAGGGATGTTCGGGCTGCGCCTACAGCCCCCTTGGGGTCTTGACATTGGTCTGCAAAGTCGAAGCGGCTGAGCATTGTGGTAAACACGTCGTCGAAGTAGATTCTGCACGCCTTGCTCTCCAGATGCTAACCAGAAACTCTAAACCCTAAATCCTAAACCCTAAACCCTCAACCCTCAACCCTAAACCCTCAACCCTCAACCCTCAGCCCTCAGCATACAGCAAGCCAGAGCCCAAACGTCGAGGCGGGTTGCGAGCAGCTTTTTGCTAGGGTTTGGGGCAAGACTAGCAGAGCTCTTGATAAGGAACTTCAACTAAGCAATCATGGTATGGTGAGCTTGTGTAGCCAAAAAATATATGTATGTATATATATATATATATATCGCACCCTAATGCTATGAGAACTTGGAATGTGCAGTTTGGGATGTTCGGGGACTATAATTGGGCGTACTAGAATCCCTATTAAGGACTGTGAGTGTAAGGGGGAACATAAACCCTAAACCCTAAACCCCAAACACCCCAAAGGGTGGCATCCCAACTTCCTCCTGAAGCCGCGCTGCGTCTTCCTCCGCGGGCTCCAGCGCCGGAGATAGGGGGTCGCGGAGGTAGTCATTCACGGCCTGCGTCGGAACTGGGTTCTAGCGTTCTAGGGTTCTAGGGTTCTAGGGTTCTAGGGTTCTAGGGTTTAGGGTTTAGGGTTTAGGGTTTAGGGTTTAGGGTTTAGGGTTTAGGGTTTAGGGTTTTAGGGCCTGCGCCGGAACTGACGCAGATTCTGCTCCCTAAACTTCAAAGCCTCAACGATTCCGCCCCTAAATCCTAAACCCTAAACCCTTCAAACCGAAACCCGAAATGGGTTTCAGGTTTGGGGCTCTCAAAGTGGGCATGGGGTTTCAAGGGGCCGGGCTCCAAAAGCCCTGAAGGCTCGTTGTTGCGACCGGGTCTCTTGAGTGAAGAGGATCGCGAACACGTATTCCTGAGACCCCCTGATTCTTAGTAGGTAATGCGGGAATGAAGGCCCTATAACATCCCTGTAAGGGCTTCTATAGGGTACCTGAAATCTCGGGCCCGGATTTTATATAGGGTACCTCATTCCCTCATTCCGTACTAAGAACCCGTCAGGGGAACGAGGTTGCAGGCCATGACAGGTGCAAGCGATGGGCATGACACCCTCAGACCCCTACCTATAGGGGCCTTAATAATTAGAACAGGGTTTTGGGGGGTTATTCTCGTATAATTGTAAAGGGACCATAAGACTACAGGGGCCTTAATAATATAAGAGGGTTTTGGGCGGGTTATTATCGTATAATTATGAAGGGACCATAAGGGAATAACACTAGTAATTCTTCCGACCTTTATATTTTAAGCCCAAGACCCCTATCAACCTCCGGCATGACGCCTCGAGTCTCGCCTGACTTTGTAGGGTCTTGGGGTTTCGGGTTTAGGGTTTAGGGTTTAGGGTTTGGGGTTTAGGGTTTAGGGTTTGGGGTTTGGGGTTTGGGGTTTAGGGATGTTTAGGGTTTAGGGTTTAGGGTTTAGGGTTTAGGGTTTAGGGTTTAGGGTTTAGGGTTTAGGGTTTAGGGTGTAGGGTTTAGGGTTTAGGGTTTAGGGTTTGCTCCATAGCGAGTGTGGTCCGCTTGCACAGGAAAGTGTGCACTCCGGATCTCAGCCATCACACAGAGTTGGATCGTTCAATCATTTAGAGTATCACAACCGAGCCGGCTTGCAACAACCTAAACTCTAAACCCTAAACCCTAAACCCCCACAAGAAGCAAACCAGGGCGCCGAAACTCCAACATCAACTCCCTGGCCCATTCATGAGCATCGCAACCAGCACCCAACGCTTGGAGGTTCATGGGTTTAAGGGTTTAGGGTTAAACGTGCCCCAAACATGGCTATAAGTTGTTGGTTTACTGAAGGCGGTGCAAGAACAAAATTGCGAACAAGAAGCCTCCAATCAAAGCCCTTGTTGCCCAACTGCTCACCCCAGCTCACAAACCTCCCTGCGGCAGCAGAAGTACACCGCAGAGCGTCAGGGCGGCCCACCAAGGGCGGAAAATCGGGGCCCCGGAAGAGTCTATGAGTAGCTTTAGGGGTTTAGGGTTTAGGGTTTAGGGTTTAGGGTTTAGGGTTTAGGGTTTAGGGTATGTCTACGGGTTACATAGGGATGCGGAGGGCCTAGGGCCCATCGAACTGTTGAATCCGACTGAAAATCACCCTAAACCCTAAACCCTAAACCCTAAACCCTAAACCCTAAACCCTAAACCCTAAACCCTAAACCCTAAACCCTAAACCCTAAACCCGAAGATGACGGCTGAGGAATTGCGCTGCAGCCGGGGCTCGATCAGGAAAATCAACACCAGCGCCCACAGCAGAGACTTGAGGGTGTAGAAGATTGAGGTGACCTGAGGGGTTTAGGGTTTAGGGTTTAGGGTTTAGGGTTTAGGGTTTGGGGTTTCTTCGGCGCGCTTCGGGTTCTTAGATGACCCCTTAGCGCAAGGAAGGCAAAACGCCACTAGAAGTTTTAGGGTGTTAGGGTTTTGGGGGGAGTTAGGGTTTAGGGTTTAGGGTTCTGGCTTTAGGATCTTAGGGTTTTTAGGGTCTTAGGGTGTTCAGGTCTGAGCGTTTAGGGTCTGAGGGTTTTAGGGTCTGAGGGCTTTTTGGGCCTTCGGCCTGTTTTGGGTTTTGGGACCTTAAACCCTAAACCCTAAGCCCTAAACCCTAAACCCTAAACCCCAAACCCTAAACCCTAAACCCTAAACCCTAAACCCCTGAACCCTAGTTGGGCTACTTGAGCCCCCGGCCAGCGTGCGGAGCGCCACCACGAAGCGGAGGATCCGGACCACCTTGAGGGTGTCCATGCTAGCCCTAAACCCTAGCCCTAAACCCTAAACCTCCATGCCCTAAACTAGAACCTAAGCCCTAAACCCTACAAACCCTACAAAACCCAAACGCCGAACCCCAAACCCTAAACCCTCCAAACCCTTCAAACCCTCCAAACCCTAAACTCCAAACCCTAAACCCTAGACCCAAAACCCTAAACCAAACCCTGAACCCCGAACTCTGGGACCCTTAAATTAGGGTGTAGGGACCCAAAACCCTAAACCCAAAACCCTAAACCCTGAAGCCTTGGGGGCTGAGGGCTTAGAGCTTTGGGGCTTAAAGACCCCTAAACCCTAAACCCTAAACCCTAAACCCTAAAACCCTAAAACCCGAACCCGAAAAGCCATTTCAAGACCCACGAGGTGACCTGCACCGTCTTCAGGATGCGGGTGATGCGGATGATCCGGAAGGCCTGGCACGCTGGCCATCTTCCAGTTTAGGGTTCAGGGGTTTAGGGTTGTAGAGGTTTAGGGTTTAGGGGTTCAGGGGGTTAGGGGGTTAGGGGTTTAGGGGGTTAGGGTTTAGGGTTTAGGGTTTAGGGTTTAGGGGTTTAGGGGTTTAGGGGTTTAGGGGTTTAGGGGTTTAGGGGTTTAGGGGTTTAGGGGTTTAGGGGTTTAGGGGTTTAGGGGTTTAGGGGTTTAGGGGTTTAGGGGTTTAGGGGTTTAGGGTTCTGGGGTTTAAGTTTTAGGGATTTAGGATTTTTTGGGGTTCAGGGACTCCCAACCTTGAGACTGGAAATGCCGGCGATCGTACCCAGCTCGGACTCCTGAGAGTTGCTTCCAGGGGAAAAGAATTATTCATGGGTTTCCCTGAGTTTAGGGATTGGGGTTTAGGGATGGTTTAGGGTTTAGGGTTTTGGGTTTTGGGTTTTGGGTTTAAGGTTTCCCTACTACCCCCCTCTATACGACCCTCACTAGGCTCCCCCTTGAAATAACCTATTAGGCCTTTTCTATCCCTAAATAGTAAGGCTATGGGGTGAACCCAGAGGGGGGGTAGTATAGAGGTGTGTAGCAGGGGAATGGAATACTATAGGGGTCGGAACAATTTCCAATAGCATTCCCTTATGGTCCTTTTGGAATTATACGATAATAACCCCCAAAGCCCTGTCCATATTCTGCAAACACGGTTCAAGGTGAAGGGAGGGGAGCTCAGCAGGGGGTTTAGAGTTTCAGGGTTCAGGGTTTGGGGTTTAGGGTTTAGGGTACAGGGTTTCGGGGTTTAGGGTTTAGGGTACAGGGTTTAGGGGTTTAGGGTTTATTATGGGTTCATGGGGTCCTTAAGGCAGGGGCGTTCAGGGTTTAGGGCTCAGGGCTCATGGGGGGTAGGTCCCTAAACCCTAAACCCTAAACCCTAAACCCTAAACCCTAAACCCTAAACCCTAAACCGGTGCCTAGGGAACCGGGAAGCTGCGGGTGCCTCAGGGAGCAGTGGGGAGTATGAGGCAACCTTGGGACACACGCTCCCAAACCCTAAACCCTAAACCCTAAACCCTAAACCCTAAACCCTAAACCCTAAACCCTAAACCCTAAACCTCACACCTTATTGCGTCGGGCTCCTCTCCAGGCGGTGTGGCGGCTTCCACGTGCTGCACGATGATCTCCCAGATGGAGCTCACCTCACACAACTGCCTCTACGGGACTTAAGGCTCTGGGTTTAGGTTTTCGGGTTTATGGTTCAGGGTTCAGGGTTTAGGGGTTAGGGTTTAGGGTTGAGGGTTGAGGGTTGAGGGTTGAGGGTTGAGGGTCGAGGGTTTATCCCTGAAACGGATATAGTGAGAAATACATATACATATATGCATATATCTATATAATATTATATGTGTATATTTATATATATAGAAAAATACCCACCCCCATACAAGCCCCTAAACCTGCAGCCCTCTGAAAACCTTGAAAGCTTTTCGGAACCCTGAACCCTTTCGAAAAAAAAAACACGAAAAAACACCGAAACCCTGAACCCTAAACCCTAAACCCTAAACCCTAAACCCTAAACCCTAAACCCTAAACCCTAAACCCTAAACCCTAAACCACAACCCTAGAACTCTCCAAAACTCTAAACTCCAGGCCACCACGATCACCAGATCCAGAATGGCCCAGGTCCAATCCTCCAAAAAAAGGTCCAGGGCTTGGGTTTAGGGTTTAGGGCGAGGGTTTAGGGTTTAGGGTTTAGGGCTTAGGGCTTAGGGGCTTGAGGCTGAGAGTTTAGGGTTGAGGGTTTAGGGTTTGTGGGCGCCTGGGGCTTGGGGATAAGGCTATAGTGCCCCTGCAATATTGAAACAATAAAGTGAGTTCTCGTTCTTGGCTAGTCAATAGAATCCTCTCACAAGGAAAGGACCAAACAAGAAGAAGATAAAAGTGAAGAATATGATGGCGGCTGCAAGATGATGCAGAAAAAGCTGCTCCTAATTCGAATTTTCTATTGCGTCCCGAAGAATGCTATATTCATGATAGTGATACTAATGATAACAATGGTGATAAAATAAGTAAATTGGGGGACGCACGCACATTCTAAGATGGATTTCCATTTACATTAAAACCTCTAAGTTCTAGCTTAGTTCTCTTAATGAGTCCTTTTAACCACATAAAAAGCATGAACGGAAAAGAGATTGGAAATGCAAAAATGAGATGAACGAAATGTCAACTTTAAATGAAGGTGATACGGAAAGGTTAATAGTCACAGAGTAAGAAATGGTTGAACGAAATTAGTCTTTTAGCAAGCGCTCCGAGAATTATTAGGAGGCCCAGGGTAGAAAGACTGTTGGTTCTTGCGCAGTTTCATGTCGAATCCAACACAATGTTTCGGTGGGGTGGGGCACAGAGGGCATGTAGGGTTAGGCGTTTAGGCATTTATATAAGCATTCGAGGCATTTCGTGGGGTGGGCTTTTGGACTAATTGTCAGATTGCCCTACACTCGAAGCCCTAAAACCTACCAGCACCAAGCCTAAACCCCCAAAACCCTAAACCCTAAACCCGAAACCCTGAACCCTGAACCCCAAACCCTACACCCCTGCTAGGGTGGCAGGGCACGTGGGTCCTCTGAGCAGAAAAACCTGGGGCCGTGAGCCAGCACGCGCAGGAGCAGCTCAATAGCAAAGAGCACGGTGAAGATATACCTTGGGGGAAATTTAGAAAATGAGGATTTAGGGTTTAGGGTTTCGGGCTCAGGGTTTAGGGTTTAGGGTTTAGGATTCAGGGTTCAGGGTTTAGGGTTTAGGGTTTAGGGTTTGCTGTGATAGGGCGTAGATGCCGTGAAGGTTAGGTTTCGAAACAAGCTCGAAAGCTTCGTGAGGTGCGAAGAGCAGCTTTGGCCCGATTGTGGAGGGCCATTTAACACTTTCTCCCACCCCACGCCGTCCAAGGTGGCAAAGCCACCCAAACCTATTCCTTTTAGGGTTTAGGCCTCAACTCAGACAACAGTCCACTTCCTCAAACTTATTCAGTTTCATGATTGGGTTCTAGAGTCAAAGGAATTGGGGGGTCGGCAGGCAGTTTTCAGGGAGGGTTGCAGGAGGTGCAACTCTCGAAAAAGGCACCCCAGAGGCCCCCGGGCCAGGGGGCCAGGGGGGTCAGGGGGCCAGAAGGAGCCAGGCGCGCTGGCAGGGGCCAGCCCAGGGGGGGGGGGGGGGCCAGGCCAGGGGGGGGGGGTCAGGCGGTTAGGGGGGCCCTAAAAGGTCTGACCCCACATGTCACTCACTTTATCATAAGGGACCAGTACTGGTCCCGAGGAGAACGTGTTCCGGCAACGCGACCTGTCAAAGGGCTTAAGCGCCGCCCCCCAACGTAGGGGGGCGGCCTAGGCCCTGAGTTTAGGGTTGAGGGTTTAGGGTTTAGGGTTTAGGGTTACGGATCTAGCCCTAAACCCTCAACTCTAAACCCTCACACGCCCTGGCGCTGCGCGACAAACATCGACGTTGGCCGATCATCGTTGCCGGAGATGGAATGCTCCACCTCTGGTGTTAGGGTTTAGGGCTATGTTTTGGGGTTTGGGGCTTATGGCTTCAGGCCTCAACCCTCAACCCTAAACCCTAAACCCTAAACCCTAAACCCTAAACCCTAAACCCTAAACCCTAAACCCCGCCTCGAGCCCAATGAAGACAGAGTTTGCAATCACGACCAAGGCGTAGAAAGAGTCGAAAATCGGGTGAAGCACGAGGCGGGCGATGAACTGACCTGGCTTTAAGACGTTCGCGCCCCAAACCCTAAAACCCTCAAACCCTAAAACCCTGAAACCCTAAAACCCTAAAACCCTGAAAACCCTAAAACCCTAAAACCCTAAAACCCTAAACCCCTAAAACCCTAAACCCTAAACCCGAAACCCTTCTGGGGCTTCGGGTATTGATTCTGTACGCAAGGCGTGGATGTGCCCTCTAGAGCCACATTTAAAAAGTGCTAAACTGGAAGATACGAGTACAAATATATGTACGAATCATCAAACACACACACACACACACACATATATATATATATATATATATACAATAAATATCTACAATAATAATAATAATAATAATAATAAAACACATATATATATATACAATAAATATCTACAAGTATGCGACCATACAAATATGCAAATGTCCGATTACACACACACACACACACACACAAGTCACACAAGTCTGCAAGTATACACATATACAAGATATAGACACATGAAGATATACAAAGATGAGTGTACGTACAGAAATACAGATACACACATAAATACATACATACGTCCGTACATACAAACATACATACATACATACATACATACATACATACATACATACATACATACATCCATGCATGCATGCATGCATACATACATACATGCATACATACATATACACGTACGTACATGTATTCTCTGGGGTCTTAATGTAGGCAGCGATTCTCTTTCATTTGGACTCTGGATATGGCCCCCACCTTATGGAGGGACACAAAGCTAAAACCTACTCTCTGGTTTCGGGTTCTAGGGGTCTGAATCTGAAGGTTAGGTGAACATGTGGGGGATTCCCTCAACCAGTAAGAGCCTTGCTTGGGGCTTATGTACCCAAAACGGACCCCCCACCTGCTGCATCCCAGGATTGAGGTTTTTGAGGGTGTAGGGGAGGTGCTGCACAAGAAGCTGCTCATATGGGGGGGGTTTCCGCAAGCAGGGGTACCTTTTTGGGGTTTCCTTTAGAAGGGTTATTGCTTTAAGCTCAACGGCCTACTTGTAAGTAGGGTTAGAAGTACCCGAAGTGAGGCTACAACCAAAGTTCGCCCACTTGTAGGTGAACCTCTAAGCAACCCATAAAAATCCTGAGTAACTTGGTGAATCCTAAACTCTGCACGCTAAGCTTGGGTTTATGGTTCAGGGTTGAAGGTTTGGGGTTTAACACTCAAACCGTCCCAAACCAAGCCCGAAACCCTAAACCCTAAGCCCTTTTGGCCCCCCCTTTTGGCCCTTGGGGGCCTGTCTGCTGCTTGGCTCGGGAGATGCGCATGCTGGCAAAGCGCCGGCGGGAGTGCACGCCATCCATGCCCGCCTTGGCAGTTAGGAGGCGTTTAAGGGGGGGATAAGGGGTTAGGGTTTAGGGTTTAGGGTTTAGGGGTTAAGGTTTAGGGTTTAGGGTTTAGGGTTTAGGGTTTAGGGTTTAGGGCTAGGGTTTAGGGTTTAGGGCTTCGGGCTCAGGGTTGCGACTACGTTGCAGGCTTAGGGAAGCTTTCTGACTTCTTTTTTTATTCGGGGAGGTTGGGAGGTGGCTGACTTCGTTGCAGTTGATGTCTGCACAAAAGGGAGCTGCTTCGCCAAAACTACTTGGAGGTTCATGGTACTTAGGTGAGCTGGGCATGATGGTTTCGGGTTTAGGGTTCAGGGGTTTGGGGTTTAGGGTTTAGGGTTGAGGGTTGAGGGTTGAGGGTTGAGGGTTGAGGGTTGAGGGTTGGGGGTTGGGGGTTGGGGGTTGAGGGTTGAGGGTTGAGGGTTGAGGGTTGAGGGTTGAGGCTTTCGGGTTTGGGGTTTTGGCTTTTCCTGGCAAAACAGCTGCCGGGCCACGGCACTGATCTTCGCCTGCCGAAAGGAGGTTTTGATGAGGTCTTCACGGATCATATTGAAGTAGGGTATATATTCCTTGTAGCCCCAAAAGGACAGCCAACATATACACTCACCAGTATTTAAAAGGGGGACCCTAAATGCACCCACCAACATCAGTAACATAAACCCTAAACCCTAAACCCTAAACCCTAAACCCTAAACCCTAAACCCTAAACCCTAAACCCTAAACCCTAAATTCATATCTTGTTTCGGGAATTAGGGGTTGTTGGGGGGCTCCAAGCCTCCGGGACAATGAGTAGGCTTCACTTCTACCGGTAGCTACGTGGTCCTTTAGTATGGGCCCTTAAACGGGTGCCCCTTATACACCGCTTGTATGCCCTATACAAATTAAGGGCCCATACTTCAGAACCCTTTAAAGGAGGTGGGGGACCACATGAAGGGCCCATATGAAACTACCCTTAGACAACTTTGGTTGAGGTTCTCACCGTACCCGTACCCCACCTACAAGTACCCATGAACCTCGAAGGGCCCTGGTTCAAGAAAACCTTAGGGTAATTACATGGTCCCTTAGTCTGGGCTTATACGAATAACACAATAGCAATGACGCCAGCAACAGCACCAACAACAACGAGAAAAAACATATGCAAAATGATGAACACATTGTCAGTATCCCAATAGAGCTGCCGTAAATCCTGAATCTCGGACCCCTAGACGCTAAACCCTAAACCCTACACCCTACACCCTAAAACCCTAAACCCTAAACCCTAAACCCTAAACCCTAAACCCTAAACCCGAAACCCTAAACCCTAAACCCAATCACGGCGCCTGCAGGTTGTGGGCGGTGAAAGTCGTGAAGAGCTTCGGAGCCTGTCCCCACACAAAACTGCGTTCTTTGCTTCTGTCTTAGGGTATTTACATGGTCCTTCAGTACGGTGAAAAGGGCCCTTATGTACCCGTTAAACACCTAACAACCCAAGGGCCCATACTTCAGAACCCTTCAAAGGAGGTATGGGACCATGTCAAGGGCCCATATAGCTACCCTAAGATTCTCTGGGGCTTCAGGACCCTAAACCCTAAGCCACCTTAAGCTGCTTATGGCTTCCTGGCGGAGACTAGGGTTTAGGGTTTAGGGTTTAGGGTTTAGGGTTGAGGGTTGAGGGTTTAGGGTTGAGGGTTGAGGGTTGAGGGTTGAGGGTTGAGGGTTCAGGGTTCAGGGTTCAGGGGGGTCCCCTTGGCCGCCCTTGGCCTGGAAAGAGAGCCGGCGGGCGACAGGTGCGACAGCAGGAGACGCCCGTGTCTTGCTGTCCTGACATGGAACCCCTGGCGGGTTCATGGGTCCTTGTCAGTAGGGTTTAAGGGAAAAGGGTTTAGGGGTTTAGGGGTTTAGGGTTTAGGGGTTAGGGTTTAGGGAATGAGGGAATGAGGTACCTATGTACTCCCTTAAAGGGTATGTATAGGCCCTCATTCCCTCATTCCCTACTAAGAACCAGGGGGCTTAAGCCCGCCCCAAAGCCCGCAAAGCCCCCAAACACCCCAAAACTATGGCGACTGCAGTCAAGCCACAGCCGCAGAGACCTGGGACGACGGCCTGTTCGAAACGACCTGTGGAGCAGGCCATTTTGGGGGTGGGGGCTTGGGAAGGTTCAGAAACAACGCCCAGGGAAGGTTCAGAAACAACGCCCAATGGCACCAGCATGCTTTTTCAGGAAGAGCTTTGGGGTAGAGCTTGCTTAAGTTAGTCGGAGGGGAGCACCGGGCACACCCCTTATGCAAAGACAGGTTTACCTACCGCAACCCCCCACCCCCCACACTGGAGCACCTTGAACCCCTCAACTTGAAGCAGCCAACCATGAGTAGCCTCCTTCCTCCAACACTGGGCACCCTACACCCTACAATGAACCCTAAACCCTAAACCCTGAACCCCCCCTTTAAGCCCTACAACCAGCCCGCAGAAAAAGCTTCTTCGAGGCACTTCGCTGCTGGCTGCGCTGCCCTGGCGGACGACACGCTCAGGGCTTACTTGGAGGTTCATTGGGTTTAGTATTTAGGGTTTGGTGCTCAGGGCTGTTAGGTTTTGGGGCTTAGGGTTTAGAGTTTAGGGTTTAAGGCTGTAGGGTTTAGGGTACTTATGTTTGGGACATTCAGAGCCCTAGTTTTAGCTAATCATGCACCCTACAGGTACTTCCAGCTGCATGCTTTTCTGCAGAGTGTGGAGGCCTGTTGGTGTACGCCGATATTGCCACCCTAAACCCGAAACCCTAAGCCCCAAAGTTTTCAAGGACATGTTCGACTGACTTAGTAGACTACTGACTACTCTTCTACTTCCAACGGATATCCTGTCCAGATGGGGGTGGCAAGGTGGGAGCTTCACACTCCCAAAAGTCACCTAGGGGCTAAACCCTAAACCCTTAACCCTTAACCCTAAACCCGAACCCTAACCCAGCCCTACACTCAACCCTAAACCCCTCATCCCGAAACCCTCGACCCTGAACCCTTAACCCCCTCCCTTTACCCGAGACCCTGAACCCTGAACCCTTAACCCCTACTCCCTAAACCCTAGAACCTAAACCTCTAATTAAGCCCTAAACCTCCAAACCTCTAAAAGGGGCCTGAATAATTCGATATAATTATAGAGGGACCCTAAGGGAATATTCGTAATTTTTCCGAGCCCTATCTTAGAGGGCCTTCAGACGTCTACGGGGGTTCCTAAACCCTAAACCCTAAACCCTAAACCCTAAACCCTAAACCCTAAACCCTAAACCCTGAACCCCCTAAGCTCAGAAGACGGGTGCCTGGCTGCTCCTCCCATTGGCCTGCCATCGCAACACCCTCGACACTTCGAAGTCTCAAAGTCGTACCCTAAACAGAGGGGGTTTAGGGTTTAGGGTTTAGGGTTTAGGGTTTAGGGTTTAGGGTTTAGGGTTTAGGGTTTAGGGTTTAGGGCTTAGGGTTTAGGGGTTTTGGGTTTAGGGTTTAGGGTTTTAGGGTTTTAGGGTTTTTGGGTTTAGGGTTTTTGGGTTTAGGGTTTAGGGTTTAGGGTTTAGGGTTTTAGGGTTTAGGGTTTAGGGTTTAGGGTTTAGGGTTTAGGGTTTAGGGTTTAGGGTTTAGGGTGTAGGGTGTAGGGTTTAGGGTTTTAAGGTTTAGGGTTTAGGGGGGCCGCCTTATAATAAGGACCGCCAAAAGGGGGAAAAATTGAGATCACCACATGGGGTTTAGAGCATGAGGTTAAGTCGGGGTTTGGGTCTTAAAGTTTCGGGTTTGGGGTTTGGGGCTTACCCCACTCCCTGAACCTAAAACCCTGAAACCCCCAACCCTGCAAGCAAAATCCTCAAACCTCAACCCCAAAACCCTAAACCCTCGACACCAATCCTTAATAGGGATTCTAGTACCCCCTATTCTCATCCCTATTAAGGACTGTTAGTATAAGGGGGAACATCCCAACCCTAAACCCTGAACCCTAAACCCTAAACCCTAGCCCCTGTTAGTATGTATACAACCCACAACCTTAGCCCCGAGTGGCCGTCGGCCTTAGTATACACTCACCAATACTAAAAAGGAACCTTATATACACTCACCAATAACAGTCATATAAACCCCCCTAAACCCTAAAGCCTAAAGCCTAAAGCCTAAACCCTAAACCCTAAACCCTAAACCCTAAACCCTAGTCATGCGGCCATGGCAACCTGCGAGGCTTTTTGCGTCTTCCTCCGCTATCGGCCGACAAGGTGAGACCAGGTTACTTGGTAGCCCAGTAACCCTCTTGGAATAAGGGGAACCATATATAGGGTTTAGGGTGTAGGGTTTAAGATTTGGGGTTTAGGACCGTTTAGGAGTAACCATATAATGAGGGCACCCTTTTTGGGAGAGTTACTGTATAAGGGAACCTTGAACCAAAAAAAAAAAAAGGGAAAAGGGTACCACTGGGCTACCAAGGTTAGCTCGCTCATGCAGATGCGGCCTAAATGGCCGACGACATCACAGGCAGGAAAACGATGAAAAGCCATGGTGACCTCGGCCGCGCACGCTTCGAAGCTGTGCCAGCAGCTGGTCTCCTCTGGTTGCAACTGTGATGGAGGACTCACCTGTACGGCGGTCTCGGACAGAACTCGCGCCATAGAAGCCACAAGCAACAAGCAGTTAGCCACGCCGACTCGCCTAAGTTTGGGGGTTGAACTGGCCTGCTCTTCGTGCATGCGCTTGGCTGCTTGTCACCTCATCACTGAGTGAGCGGAAAATGGAGCTGGATGACAGGTCCAACTCTTAAAGTTTTGCACCTCCTAGCCTATCATCTTGTCTTCCTTTGCACTCAAGCTACTCAAGGTTGGAAGAGGGCTCGGATGAAGACCAGTGGGGGAGGGTGCAAAGTGAAAATCCGGCGCTCGGGCTATCTATCAGCTTGCGCAAGCTTGCACCGCCTTGGGTACAACATGGGTTTAGGGTTTAGGGTTTAGGGTTTAGGGTTTAGGGTTTAGGGTTTAGGGGTTAGGGAAAAGCCAACCAAGACTGGCACTCCAACCGAGTGCGAGCTCGGATGTGCCCCAGGGAGGATCCGGGACTGCCTGGTGGAAAGTTAAATCGCGGCTCACAAGATCTCCCCCTTTTTGGTAGCCCAGTAACCCTAAACCCTAAACCCTAAACCCTAAACCCTAAACCCTAAACCCTAAACCCTTCTTTGGGCTGGGTACTTCAGAAGGGAACCTTGAACCCCCCAAAAAAAATGGGGAAAATGGGTATGACTGGGCTACCAAGCCTTCCACCCCACTGAGGGGCGGTTGTGCAGACGTAGGCTGCCGCCACCAATGGATCCCAACACACAAACGCGCGACAACTCTGAACCAAGATGTGCATTCTTCCACAGCTTTCCAGTGTAAGGAGAGAACAAGAGACACCTCCCTATGTTCAAAATTGGGTTCCGATGGGGCTGGGGGGGGCTGCCTTGCATGGCTCAATCCGGAAAAGCGCCCTATGCACTCAGCCCGGGGGACCCTGGCAAGCGCGTCAGCAATCTCAACCTGCCTCGCGCCAGCTGTCGGGTATAGTCATTAACCCCAATGGAGTGGCCACCGGTGCGGTGAACCCGGAACGAGGCACTTGTGCCTAGGCACTCCTCTTTCATGGAGCTGGCCAACTCCGCACACTCATCGGACGTGACGTGGGCGACTCGGTGGCATTTTCTCCTCTCACGGGGGAGCGGCTCCGAGGGCTGCGCCTCCGCCCCTGAAGTCCCGGATTGGTGCACGCGCGTCTTGAGGGAATGGAAGGCACGAACTTCGGCTCCGCGCGCATCCTCGATACTCACGCCAGCGGCAGAGCCCATGAGCCGCCAGCTACACCCCTTCAACTGCTGAACTGCGCACTTGAGCCACTTCAGACTCCAGCCAAAGTTCATGCGTCAGAACACCTGAGTTTCACCGGTACTTAAAAGGCCGCGATGGTAGTAAAATGTTCTTTCCTTAGACACGGACAAGGGACCGTCCAAGCGGTGACAGGAGCCCTTACACCTCGCTTAAACCTTCAGCCCTCCCTTGCGTCGAGGGGCTTAGCTTAGTGGGCAGCGTTCCGGTAGACATTTTTGGGGCATATCTTAAAAGTTCAACCCTGTTAGAGAACCCTACAGCAATCCCCACTTGAAGGTTCATGTGTACTTACAAGTGCCCTGACCCCCCTATGCTGTATCCTCCTGGAGGTTCACGGGTACATATAAGTGGGGGTTAGAGGGAGGGTAACTATGGTTATAATCTGACTTTGGGTACTTATAACCCGACTTACAAGTACACATGAGCCTTCAAGTATACCCCAAACATCCCCAAACCCGAAACCCAAAATTCCAACCCCTAAACCCAAACCCCAAACCGCCAAACCCTAAACCGGTCCCTCAACTTTACACCCTCAACCCTCCACCCGAAGACCCCTGCAGCACAAGAGCCAGCTGATCTCACCTTGTCGGAGTGCATCCCAACAGGAACCGGCGGTCGCTGCGCGCCCGGCCGGTCTCCTGAACTAAGCCGCTTGCATCTCCGCGAGGGGCGCGCGGGGGGGAAGCGGGGGGGAAGAGTGAAATCCGTTTAGGGCTTTGGCCCGAGGGTCTGGTCCAGGGTTTAAGGCTATTTAGCGGCTATCTTAGCCCGACGTGCCCTACTCTGTCAACCCTAAACCCTCTAACCCACTTGAAACCCCTATACCCAAACAAGCCTTTCATAAACCGACCGAGCCAATAAAGCCCCATAGACCTGAACCTCCCAAGCTGTGGCGCCTGCGAAGAACCCGAACATCCAAGGGTTTAGGATTGAGGGTTTGGGGTTTAGGGTTTCGGGTTTAGGGCTTCTTAGGGTAGTTACATGGTCGGGATAGTTTTTTTTGACCCCCCCCCCTCTTTTTTCTGACCCCCTTGTCTTCTAACTAACCCCCCCCCCCCCCCCCCCCTTTCTTTTGCCCCCTCCCCTCTTTTCCCTGACCCCCCCCCCTCTCTTTCCTGACCCCCCCCCCTCTCTCTTCTAAACCCCCCCCCTCCCCCTCTGACCGATCCGACCCAAGAGGGGACTGGATCTGACACAGAGTCAGGACCTGGTTGCCAACCGCTCCTTTTGTTCTCTGCCTGCTTTGGGCCTCTGTCAGCTCGCTGCGAGCTGGCCGCCCTGTTCGCCTTACTTGTGAGAATGTCACATCATGCCATGGCCCACACTGCAAGTCGCTCACTAGCGCCTATGAGACTTCTGTTCAGCTACTCCGGGGCCGCACGGTAGGCGCTTGCCGCTGCTGCGTGGCTTGCGGATGTCCTGTCCTGGAAGCCCCTGAACATGGGACCGGCTCGGTGGGCCACTGTTGCGTTGATGCTTACCCCGCACGGGCCTTTGAGAAGAAGGAGCGCTGCGTAATTCCAGCGATCGTTGTGGCCCCCGAGGTTCCCTCGTTGCTTTGTCCAGCTTCTCTGCCTGATATCTGCTGATAACACGGCTGCACCATACAGGAAACGATATGTGAAAAATGCCACGGAGACCTTCAATGAGTTGGCTGGAACTGTGGGAGTTAGCGTCACAACCTCATCTCCGGCACTTCCGAGGGCGTGCCTCCACAATTGACTTAGAACACTGGCCCAGAAGCTGACACTGGAAAGCCAGTAGCCAGACGTGTTTAAGCAGGACGCAAATGTTTCGTCCACAGGCACTGTCCGTGTCAGATCAGAACACACGAGCCGGAAATCGCACACTGCCTGCTTTCCCTCAGCACAGGCAGACCATGCGAGCAAAGGGCTGTCCGTTGGTAGGGGGCGAGTGTGGACCCAAGTGTTGCAGAACCAAGCGAAACAATGCCTTCACAACAGGCACAACTACGCACGTGCCAAAGTCTGCTGTGGCCGGGAGTCCAGGCTCGCCTGCAGAAGCAAACGAACACGTAAACCTTCCGGCAGGCCCGATGCTGCACTTGTCTTCTGCACAGGCCCACCAATTTGAAAGAAGTGAGCACTGTTGTAGAACGATCACCCCCACATTGGTTCTGTCGTCTTCAGCGCCTGCGCTTGTCGGGTTCTCGATACTCGGCCCTAACTACTTTTTAAACCCCCCCCTAAAATACAATATGCTCTAGGGAGTCGAGAGTGCAGCAAATTGTATGTTTGGTAGGTTTATTACGTTCGTCTTGGGAGTTTTGTCTTCCATTTGTTGTAGAATTGGCAGACACTCATCAGCCGACCCCATAAGACCCCCCCCCAAACATACATCTCCGGGAGCCCGGATTGTATGCCGGCTACCAAGGACCCCCCCCCCCCCCAGAATACATTAGTTAGACCCGGCTATAATTCTGGACAGCAGCTCGCCTCCGAGCCTGCCTATCCACAGCCGTTTCCCACGGTACTGCTCCACCTGGCCACGGACGTAACACGAAAACCAACCTCTACTGCAGACTCGCACTACTGCTGCTGCTGCTGCTGCTGCTGCACGTTGCTACGCCACGCTACTTTCTACCTTAATCTACGCCAGTGCTGCACACTTCTCGCAAGTCTCTCACACTGTCCTGCCTGTGGCGGCATCAAGATATCTTTGCCAGTTAATGTGCGTTGATTGGGTCCAAGTTGCTGACGATGGCCACGCTGGACATAAAACCGGACCTCCTTCGCCCGCTCCAATGAACTGGTACCCTCCCGTGCTCCGAAGACGATCAACGGCCGCAGCATGTGTTCCAACCGGTTGAAGATGAAAGCCATCTGCTGCCGTTCCTGGGGCTAGTTCAGGCATTTCTCGCAAAACTTCCAGGAGAGCATCCTTCAGAGGCTCCAGCGTCGGGCTTTTCCCAGACCCCGGAGACGCGGTCCCCACCGACCAGCACCGTGCCCGAACTGGAAAACCTGCTGCATCGTAGGTTACGTGCTTGTTCAACAGGCTTCCCAACAGAGAATAGAATGAGTCTATGTAAAAGATTGCAGGAAGGCCGCTGGTCCGCGACCACGCCTCGAACAGCACAGCCAAAGGAAAAAAAAAAAAAAAAAACGGTCCTCCAGAGCGGAGCAGCCACCTGCACTGCGTCCGTAGCCAGGATCTCCTGCGTGCAGTAGTCTTGCACGGCAGCGCGAAGACGCTCGCAGACGTGCTCCCACTCTGGATCTACGGTCTCCTGCGAAAACAGCGGCAATTCTTCCAGCTGCTTTAAGCAACACCTCATGACACCTAAGTGAGGAAGTCCTACACAACGGAAAAGCCACACTAAACCAAATGAAAAAAAAGTCCGAGCAACTGCAGACCTTCTGGATGTTCGAGCCGGTACTTGAGAGCCTAGAACTGCCCACGTCGGTGCATGACACCTGTAACAAGACATCTCCGTTTCCTAAAGCCGAACACCCTAACCTCGCTCGCTTTCGCCTAGTTGTCAAGCGAGGGGACCTGCTTGTACTCCGCAGAACACTGCACTTATAAGCGCCCCCTAAGTCAGCTAAGTAGATAAAAACATGAACATATTATTGAGGTCATGTGTTCCCATGGACCTCTAATACAGACTTACCTAAACCCCCCCCCCCACCCCGAGTCGGGGGTCAAAAAGGAGATGGGGGGGGCGGGCGCTGAAATGGAGCTGGGGGGGGGGGGTCAAAAGGAAGCTAGGGGGGGTTAGAAAACAGCTCGGGGAGGGTTAAAAAGAAGAGGGGGGGCGGGCTCAGGAGAAGAGATTGGGGGGGAGGGGGTCAAAAAAAAGCTTCCTCGGACTTTTTTTGCCTGGGGGGGAGGGGGGGTCAACAAAAAGCTGGGGGGTCAGAAAAAAGAGGGGGAGGGTCAAAAAAAAGAGGGGCCCTTACATGGTCCCTTAGTATGGGCCCTTAAATGGGGATTTCTGATATAGCCCTGATATACCCCATAACTCCCAAGGGCCCATACATCAGAACCCTTTGAAGGAGGTAAGGGACGTAGGGTTTAGGGTTTAGGGTTTAGGGTTTAGGGCTTAGGGCTTAGGGCTTAGGGTTTAGGGTTTGGGGTTTAGGGTTTAGGGTTTCGGGTTTAGGGTTTAGGGCCCATGTAACTTGCCTCAGAGAAAAACCTCAACCAATAAACCTTATCAAACCTAAGATGTAAGAGTTGTAGACATAGCCCTTCACCCTAGAAACCCCTAACAACACCCCCAACACCTAAAGCCCTAAACCCTAAAACCCTAACAACCCTAGACCCTAATCTCTAAACCCTAAACCCTAAACCCTAAACCCTAAGCCCTGGCAACCCTCCAAACCCGAAAGCCCCCTCCGCAGCACTGGCTGCCGCCGAAGAAACGCAAGGAAGGCTCGTAGGAGAGCAGGGCCGCCTGCTTCTTGTACCTGGGTGAGGGTTTGGGGTTTGGGGTTTAGGGTTTAGGGTTTAGGGTTTAGGGTTTAGGGTTTAGGGTTTAGGGTTTAGGGTTTAGGGTTTAGGGTTTAGGGTTTAGGGTTTAGGGTTTAGGGTTTAGGGTTTAGGGTTTAGGGTTTAGGGTTTAGCTTAGGGTGCCCTAAACCCTAACCACCCCCACACCACCCTCCTTCCGAAGCCCTACAACCTAGACCCCACACCCTGAACCCTGAACCCTTTGGGTGCATCTTCTAAACCCTAAACCCTAAACCCTAAACCCTAAACCCGAAACCCTAAACCCTCAACCCTAAACCGCCATCCAAGCAAGGGGCATCTGGCCCAGCATCGCATCCTGGCTGTCGAGCCTGGCCAAAAGCTCTCCTGACCACTTGCAGGCGCACAGGGGGTGTCATTGGGGTTTGGGGTCTGGGCTTTAGGGTTTAGGGTTTAGGGTTTAGGGTTTAGGGTTTAGGGTTTAGGGTTTAGGGTTTAGGGTTTAGGGTTTAGGGCTTAGGGTTTCGGGTTTCGGGTTTCGGGTTTCGGGTTTCGGGTTTCGGGCTTTGGCAGCTTGCAGGAAAGTCTCTGTGGTACACCTCCAGGACTCGGTAGATTTCCGTCCTCTCTGAGCTCACCTAGAGCCAGGCAGAAGATGGTTGGGCCACCGGGGTTGAAGGTTTAGGGTTCAAAGTTTCCCTAAACCCTAAACCCTAAACCCTAAACCCTAAACCCTAAACCCTAAACTCTGAAGGGTCGAGAGTTGAGGGTTGGGCCACTGCTGGTTCATGGGTACTTCTAAGTCGGGGTTTTTCAGTGGGGTAACTATGGTTTGCAACCTTAAGTGGGGAACTTGCAACCCTGCCTATAGGTACGCATGAGCTTGAACCTTCAAGTGCGGCTTAGTGCTTTACAGTAAACTCCAGAAAGTTGGAACATGGCTTAAAGGGTGCTTAGAGCTGGGATTCCCTTTAGCGTGCCTTTCGGATAAGGATGTTCCAACTTTTTGGAGTTTGCTGTAGGGTGTAGGGATAGTGGCTCATGGTTTGTTTAGGATCTAGGCAAGTAGGGCCTTTCTGGCCGCTACTAGCGTCTCAAACTTCAGAGGAAAAACAAAGCAAACACACACCCTTTAACCCCTAACTGAGAGAAAGGCCCCGAACCTTAACACCTTGGGGTGGGGGGGGTTACCCTAAACCCCAAAGGTGGAGTCTTGGGTCAGGGGCGAGCCACGCCCGTCGTCCAGTGATGGCCAGGGTTGGCTGTGACCGCCTTGGGCGGCGATTCGACGGGCTCCTGCTGCAAGCGAGTTATAGTCGTGGGTTCCCCCCATAGTTAAGGATATTTAAGGAGAACAAAGCCTAATTAAGGTTGTTTATGGGGGGAAACTAGGGGGGGTAGAAAAGACGGGGGTGGTCGGGAAGCCCATGCTATAGGGTCCAGGGTTTGGGCCGTCTCAAGCGTTCGGGCTGTTAGGGTTGAGGGGTGAGGGGTTTACCCTCAACCGTAAACCCTGATCCCGAAACCCTGGAGGGTTCCGGGGTGGGGGGGTTGAGGGTTGCGGGGTTGATGACCCCAAGCACCAACACTCTCGACCGGTTTTGGGGGAGGCTTCTATGTCACCAGCTAGGACTGCACCGTCAAGGTAGAAGCTGCACAAGTCAAGGCCACTGCGCAGCTCCAGCAAGGGCCAGGGTGCGGGGCCGTTGCGAAAAGGAAGAGGGCAGGGTTTGGGTTTAGGGTTTAGGGTTTAGGGTTTACGGTTTAGGGTTTGGGGTTAAACCCTATAGGGTTTAGGGTTTAGGGTTTAGGGTTTAGGGTTTAGGGTTTAGGGTTTAGGGTTTAGGGTTTAGGGTTTAGGGGTTAGGGTTTAGGGTTTAGGGTTTAGGGTTTATACACATATATTGTACATATTGATAGTATAATGACACTCTTAACAAATCATTGGATTAGTCTAGCTACCATGTAGCAACATAGCAACTGTAGCAACGACAGCGTCATAATCGTCTTGGGCTTAGGGTCTGCTCATATTCAACCCCAACTTTCCTGGAGTCCCTGTCAGCTTCGGGTTTAGGGTTGAGGGTTTAGGGTTTAGGGTTCAGGGTTTAGGGTTTAGGGTTTCGGGTTTCGGGTTCAGGGTTTAGGGTTTAGGGTTTGGGGTTTAGGATTTAAGGCTCAGGGCTTTCGGGTTACACGAATGCCTCTGCGGGTGGCGCAGTCTGCATGGCGCGGGGATCTGCTCCCTTTGGGAGGAATTCGACGACGGCGCTGACCACACCCCGCACCCCTGTCTCCCAAAGCCCTACGATAGGGATCGGAATCACTTACCGAATAGTACACTATTCCCGTATGGTCTCTATGTAGTTATACTACAACAAGGCCCCCTACTAGTTGTGCAGGCCCCTAAGTGTGCTCCTGTGAAGGCCCCTAAGTGTGCTCCTGGTGGGCCTTGTGGGGCTATGAAAAGTTCATGCGCTCGGCTTTGCGTACTCCGGCCTTAGCGACTCGCTGACTTGCACCCCTAACCCTAAACCCTAAACCCTAAACCCTAAACCCTAAACCCTAAACCCTAAACAGAACCGGCGTACAGTCCCACATGGCTCTAGTCTCGAGCAGCACAGCAGGTGTCCAGGCATCGACCACTCGGAACGCTGCCCTAAACCCAGACGCCTGGAATCCTAAACCTTACAGGGGTATGTGCCAAAATAGGGGTACCCCCTTTATACTTTATACCCCAGATAGAAAAGAATTTCCTTAAAGGGACCCCCAAAAGGGTACCCCCTACTTTTCGGAAACCCCAGTATAGAAAATCTTCAACTCTCACACTTCTGAACCCGAGGGCAAAAAGCCCCAAGAAACCCCAAAAGCTAAACCTCTCCCCAAAAGACCCTGACTCTGCCACTAGCTCCAGGAAATTCCTACACCCTAAACCCTAAACCCTAAACCCTAAGACGAAGCCCTGAGCCCTCCCTTGGACGCATGTAGGCGGCTGCCGGTCTTTGAGGGTTTAGGGTTTAGGGTTTAGGGTTTAGGGTTTAGGGTTTAGGGTTTAGGGTTTTGGGTTTAGGGTTTAGGGTTTAGGGTTTTGGGTCTATGAGGAATAGCAGCAAGTAGAACAGCAAGTATGATAGCTTTGTGTGGGCTTGCGAACTCAAGGTTGGGGTCGCTCAGGCGCGAAGGTGCCCCTAAACCCTAAACCCTAAACCCTAAACCCTAAACCCTAAACCCTAAACCTTTAACGGGTCCTGAGGGGAGAGGGTGGGCCAGCTTGCAGTAGCGACTCCACCCCTCCCAATGTGCGCCTCGCGGGCGACCTCGTCTCCACACCTTTGGTGTGCCCTGTTGAAGATGGACTTCTTGTCACCTTCTCCTTTGGTCACGGGTCTTCCGTGCCGCACTTCTCAGAAACTCTCCTGCAGCAGAGCTGCCCAAGAGACTCAAGACCAGATGACCAGTCTTCTCATTTTCCTGCATTGCAGGTCTGTACAACAAGCCTTTACGGACACATCCTGGAATGAGCACGTCCAAGCATCGAAGTTTGTGATGAGCAGGAGCAAGCCACACCTGTCTGCCGGCAATCTTGGAGACTGCCTTTGCTGTGGCCTGGAAGGTGACGATCATCTCTCGGAGATTAATTGCACACAACTGGCCTTCTTCAAGCAGCGGGTCGATGTACTCCTTGCCCTGGATTCCGTTCTGCGGTAACGCTATGGGTGGTAGGACCCCTGCAATGAGAACAAAATTCGCCAACAATTCCAGATACGAGATCCCTGCTAGTCTATGCTGCGCAAGGCCTGCAGCCGCCCATTGTAAAGTGCAACACCAATTCCAGAAAGCATCAAGGTACCATTGAGGCCAGACCGTGTTTGTGGGCCACTCAGGGGCTTGGGGCAACGGCGGGGCCAACCTCAAAGGTGGACCTGGCACGAGCTGCATCCAATGAGCAACTTTCATGTTTGAGTCGACTTGCGCTTTGTCTGAAGCTTGGTGCTGATGCCTACGAGGCGCCACGAATGCTGTTAGCTGGTGAAGATACTCGAAGAAAAACTGCAGACACTCCGCTTGCTGCATTTCCCAATCCAAGGAGATTTGAAGGTGCTCGTGAACCACTGGAAGGTCCTGCTTGCGGGCCTGCTTTGCAGCCTCGTCAACCACATGGTTACCTAACACAACCAAAAGATCCCGGCCCTGAAACGCATCCCCATCGCTATGTGCCTTAACCTTGTGCAACTTAAGATGCGAGGCGAAAGGTGCCTCCGTTTCGAAGGAGCACAGATCACGAATGGCGCATGAAAGAGGGAGGGGGCGGCCAGGGAACCGCTGCAGGAGACTAACTTGGCCAAGCGCGTATTTAGAGTCACTCCAGACCTCTGCGGGGAGATCTGGGCACTGCTGGCACAAGGAGGAAGTCTGCAACAGGGCACAGGTCTCGGCGCGATTGATGGTCTGTGTTGCTGGCACCAGACCCTGAGCAACCACGCAAAAGCAGGCTGGCATTTGTCCAGTTTGCTTCCAATGCGCCCATTCTGTGAACATACTGCGGATGTCTGTTCGGCAATACAGCAGGACAGCCCATGCTGCATGGCGAGCACCTTCCACTTGAGGGGAACTACAGGTGCCGTCTGTGAAGAAAATGAGTTGCTTGAGCGAATGCTTCAACACAAGGCCCCGTATGTCTTGAGGCTGCTGCAACCTGCGAGTGCTCCAGAGCAGGCGGAGGAACGGCGCACTTTCAGACTCAGTTGCAAAGGGACAGTGTATCCAATGCGGAGCATTCTCCCCCATCCAGTTTAAGACCGCTTGAAACGGTTGGCGGACTGCCGCAGTGGCTGCACAGTGGAGAATTCTGTGGGACTTGGAGTCCAACTCTCCACAAAATTCGCAGGTTTTGTCTTGCAGGGGGTCCCATTTGGCTTGTGCTGCACAGGACATATGTCCACCCACAATAGACTGGGCTAAGTGGACTTGCAAGCCCGGGGCAAACTGCTGCAAGGTCGTATCCACTATCCTCGGGCAGGGGACCGGGGCATGGCACAGGCCATTCCTGTGGCGAACGCGAACAGCAACTATATGCAACCATGCTCCCCGAACAGCCTGACGGACCTGTCTGGTAGAGGAGTTTAGGACATGGAAGGAGTGGTTACCAGGCCCCTGGCACCGCCCGCCGGATTGCAGAACCCAGTCCTGTTTGCGAAACATGGTTGCGAGTGCTGTGGCAGGCCCACACACTGGGAACTCTTCAGCCCAAGCCTCACAGGCGAGACTCAAGACCGGAACACCTATCTCGGGCAGAGAATGGCACATACGCTGCAGCGTACACACTGCCTGAACGAGCAAGTAGGGCTCAGGATCTGTAACACGTGGTGTGAGGGCACTCAACGCAAGGTAGGATGACGCACTGTGTCGCTTGCCGATTAGGGCCTGCGCTGCATTTGTGCGGAGACGGTCCACCTGCCCCTGCGGGGGCACGCAGCCCTCCATACCGTACATTGAGGCAGGCCAGACGGAGGTCTGTATCAGGCGGGCCTTGTCGAGCAACGGGCGCTGCGTGCCCTGCAACCGCTGAAGTCTATCAAACCCTTCCTGAAACCTGTTAGCAGCCAGACCGAACCCTGCTAGTTTTCTGAATCGGTATACAACCCCGAGGTCTTTTGCAGTTTGGAGGACTGGCATGGACTGCCCTGCAGGAACCAGCAACTGAGCCTCATTTTGCCACCATTGCAGGGCCTTGGGGGACGTGGACCACGCGAAGCTCTTACGCCAATCAATCGGGAGTTTGAGGGACTCGCAGAAACTCTGGGCATCCAACAGCGCCCCCGCCAAGGACTGTTCCTCGTCACCCAACCATGACAGGTTGTCCACATAACTCCAGAATTCAACGTCCTGTGGCAATGGGCGGGAAGCTGCAAGCCAACAGATGGCCACTTGTGCAACCACGCTCAGTGGGTCGCCTTCGGGGACTCCTGTTGTGCTGGGAAACGGAAACCCGAGGTCCCCATGGAACACGGAACGGCGTTCCAGTCTTTTCAGGAAGTCCATCCACATTGTCAGGATATGCTCCGGGAAATGTAGATGTTTCAACAAATGCTCCAATGGGACTCTGGGCAGCTGGTTAAAACACTTGATAATATCGAGCGAAAACCCGTGCTTGGGCTGCTTGCTCAGCAGAGCTTTTTCAACTTGAGCCTCAATGACATACGCCACATCCCGCGAGGAACGGTTTGGGATGCTACCGCAAACGGAGATTGGGAGCCAAGAAGCCCACTTGCGGAGGATGGCCCGGGCTGCCACTGACGACCAAAGGCGATAGATTGTGGATAGCACGGTTATTGGTCGCCCGTGCCCCATGCATGTCGGATTGTCAACCTTGGCTAAGGTGTGAACGGTACCCCCCGTGAGACTTGTCGGACAGCCGTATTTGCAAGCAAGACTAAAGAGCTGCACGAGGTCAGCCAGCGGTGTGTCCGGAAGCCACTTAAGCTCCTCAGTGGAAAACCCACAACATCCTACGGCCCGGCCTGGCTTCAACCCTTGAATCTGTTCCTTCCATAAGGAGAGGTCCTCCATGTCCAGCTCAAAGCTGCGGGAGGCTTCCGGGGAAGGCGGCAAGGACTCCATAAAAGACTCCCAGTCACTCAGAGAAGACTTTGCAGGGTCACGGAGCCATATGGGGGACCAATACTCCACGAATGCTTTGTGCAGCTCAAGTGGTGCGCTGGCATCAGTATCTTGTTGAAGAGTGGCTTGTTGCGGCAAGGTCAGATAAGGATCTGGGATCAGCAGCAGCTCCTCTTCGTCAACCTTTACGCACTTTGCAAGGACCACTTCGTGATCTGCCAGCTGGGCACGGCAACCAATACGGAAACAGGAAGGAGCCGGTGCGCGATACAATGCTCCCTCCGGACTGTTCTCCACAAGTCTCACAGTTTGTTTTTGCAAGATTGGTATGGCCTGCAGCGGAGGGCGCTCGGGCTTGCGAAGGCCACGGTAACCCACGCGGGAATGTCCTGACGACACGTCCAACTGGATCTTATACTTCGCCAGACTCTGCCGTCTCTTGGCTTCTTGTTTGACTAAGCAGTCGCAGTCATATCGGACATATGCAGCAACATCCGCCAGCCAAGCTGCAGGTGGGAAGCAATCTGCACACAGCGGTGACGCTGCAGCTACGTCATAGAACTGTGAAAAATGCGCTACCTGAAGCAACCATGTAGTAAAACCACCGGGGTACCCTGAAGCCTTAACAATAGCTTTCCATTCGCTCTGCAGCTGCAGGTACACTGAGGAGTGAAGCGAGCCTTGGGAACGAGCCTTGGCCAGGCCTTGGCAAAAGGTGTGAAGTCTTCGCGCCTGGCGAACGCGGCTGCGCGCCATGACTGTGACCGCCTCGTCTGGGGGCGCATAGTCTCCATGCCTCCCCGCCGGGGCTGTTGCGGGCGATTTCTTCTGTTTTCTTTCGCGATAGATGCATCTTCCCTTCGCGATTCTGGGGAGAAACGGCGCAGGATTTGCGACAGGATCGGCCGCATGAGACGCCCGAATGGCCACGTCTATCGACTCTTCCAAGCTCATGGCCCAGGTGGTAAAAGCATGACCGAGTTCATCTCGCGACTGGCAATCCTGAAGTTTTTGAAGCACCGTGCCTCTAAGAGCACAGTACTGCGCTTCCACATGGGAGGAGTCCGGGGAGTACTGCATGAAGCTTGAGGGGAGACGCCAACAGTGAAGACTTGGGGGCTGATCCGGACAACGAAACGTTAGCTTTAAAGGGGCATGTGCATCAAAGTTAAAGCTGGTATCATCTACACGGGCGTGCAACAGAAGCTCCTGAAAAAGCGGAGGCACCAACACTGTGTCGTGGCTGGTGGCACCTTTGCATGTTGGCGGCAAAACACACCCTGTCCGTTGTTGCCACAAGTGAAAAAGTTCCTGATAACCCAAGAATGCCAGGTGACCCCAGCTAGGTAACTTTGTGAAATCTGCATTTAGGTCGCCTCCAAGGATCGTGGGCACCGGTGAACTACTCACTTTTTGGAGGGCGTGCTGCAACAGTTGCTCATTGCGCCGAGCAGCATCGGAGTAGTTGGCAGGCCAACCGTACATTGTTATTATACGGAAGTGGAAGCAACCGACTCGAAGGTAAGCTTCCACAAAGCGTTGAGACTGTTGCAGGATTGGGGGCAGGGGCTGAAATGCCGGACGGGCAGGGAACTTAGAGAAAATGGCAACACCAGCTGCGCAACCTCGAAGAGACTCGCCTGCCTTATGTTCCGAGGCATGTGGAGCCACTGGCGGGCCCCAGACACAGTGGGCTCCTTTGCTACGGACCTGCATGGTGCAGATGCGTTGGGCTCGCAGCACTGCGGAGGTTTCAGAAAGCATGACAACGTCTGCCTGTTTCAACACCAAGGCCTCTTTGTTCAAAACTGCAGTGGGATTTACTACAGCCAATGTGAACGCGTTTTTGGAGTCCTTGGCACTTACTTCGCCCAAGCAAGTCCGGACGCCTGCACTGTCGGGCGTTGAACTTGAGACCTTGTCTGTTGGGTGGAAACACTGTTGCAGGGTACGCTGGTTTGCCGCAGGTCGGTTTAGAGCCTGCTGTGGGCCTGGGTTCTTGGCCTCCCCTACCCTTTGACCTCTAAAAGGATTGAAGTCCAACTTTCTCAAACAGACAGGGGCCGATATGCTGGAACCGCCACACGGGATGAGGGGCTCAGGGATTGAGAAGACAAACAGAGGCCAGGTAAGGTCGGAGGTCCGGAATGACCATGCAAGTTTGCCCGCAGCGACAGCAAGGCATGTGGAGCTTGTTTTGCAGAACCAGGGACCCTGAGCCAGGGAGTTGCACCCCTGATCTGCAAGCACGCAAGGGAAGGCTTTTGGCAGTGGCTGGAGGCGGAATTTAAGCCTGGCGGCGACAGCAGGTTTTTGCAGCAGTGCTACCGAGTTGGCCGACCAGGGACCCTGAACCAGGGAGTTGCACCCCTGATCTGTAACTGGGAAGCACGATTTCACTAGCGGCGAGAATCTGAAATTGCTTTCAAAGGCGAGGCACCTGGAGCGTGATTTGCAGAACCAGGGACCCTGAACCAGGGAGTTGCACCCCTGATCTGCAAGCACGCAGTGCCATAGTGAACATTGTGGCTGGTTGCAGGATTCGGGCCTGGCTATGGCGAGAGCTGGTTGTGGCAGTGTTGCTACCGACTCTACCGACCAAGGACCCTGAACCAGGGAGTTGCACCCCAGATCTGGCACTGGAGAGCGCGGGACCAGTAAAGGCAGGAGGCTGAGATTGGTCATCTGTGTGTCAACGTACCAGGGACCCTGAGCCAGGGAGTTGCCGCCCTGGTAGTTGATCTGCAAAGTGGCTGGAGAGGCGTAAACCGAACTAAAGAACTCGTTTTGCTTATTCAAAGCGGCAGTGTGGATCATGAACCCCGAACCCAGGTCGCGTACGCGTATGTGCGGAACAGATTGGTCTGACTGGACGCCACCTCTTCGGGCAAGCAAAATGAAGGCATCATCTGGAACCGCTCCCAGTGGGTTCCTATATGCCAAAACCATTAACAAAAACCCCAAAAACAAGGAGGATGAACCCCCCTGCAGAGTACACATCTTGGTATGCTTTTTAGCAAGATCACTTGTTTTTGTCGCAACCACAGGACTACAAGCATCCTGCCCGACAGCAAAGCAAAGAGGAATGAGTCACAGATCATCCGGATCCTTTTTTGCCTTCTTGTGAGGGTCTCGGTTGTCCCGGCAGGACATCATCAGCGCCTTCAGTTCCTCCAGACTCTGGTTCATCTGGGACTGTTGCTGAGCTTGGGCCCCTTGCAACGCTTCGACAGTGGACTTAAGTTGGCTGGCAAGGTCATGTCCCAACTGCTGGACGTTGTGGCGAATGTCCAGTAACTCCTGCTGAACGAGTCCTCGGTCCTCCTTGCGGTGAGCTTCTGCTTGGCGCATGTGGGCATCTTGCTCGGAACGCATGGTTTGGAGACTATTCTCAAGAGCCAGCAAGCGTTGCTCTTGCTGTTGAAAGCGGCTTTCTGTAGGCCCCTGGAGCTTCCTTTCCTCTGGGGGAGAGAGGCTCTGAGATGGATGCTTCGCACTCGACGGCCTTGGTCCCATGATGGCCTGGCTCCAAGGGTCAGAATGGAGCCAGGGATCGTCAGCCGAGATTTTGTTTCCCGATGTTTCTGCACTGCTGAATGAGGACCGAAAGGATCCTGACTGCACAATGGATGGGACTTGAGCACGGCCTTGCACTGGTTGGATCAAGATTGTCTGCCCGTTAAACGCTGGATAAGCGGCAGGAGGGGGGGAGGCAGAGCCGACAAGGAAATGCGTGGGGCCCAAGTTTTTTAGCACACGAATGTCCCAGCCAATTTTGGAGGCCCAAGTGCGCAAAGCTTCTGCTTCTGCCCCGGGAGGGACCGGCCCGAGCCGAAACAGGGATCGGACTGTCAGGCGTTGAGGTGCAACCTGGCCTGGCCGAAGCAACGCGAACACTTCGGTAAAACATGAGTCAGGGACCCTAATACCGTACCTGTCCTTAGACCGCACAAGTCCAAGTTGTTGTGGCACCCTCAGGGATTCTTTGATGGCATCTGCACGGCAGGAACCCAACCACACAACTGAATAGCCGGGGAAAATCGTACGGTCTGCTTTGCGGGGTGTCATGAACACGTTGTTGTGGCCGCTCAACACTAGGACCCGATCCAGTTCCTTGGCCTGTATTTTCGCCTGAAAAGAAGCTGTCGTTGCAAGAGCCGGTGTTGCCGGGCGGCCCTCATGCATGAAGACTCGGCCCCAAGGGCTGGTAAGGATACGGTCCACTCCCGCGCGCTGGAATCGCTCCACGGCACTCTTGACTGGCGCCTGCAAGACCTGACTCCACTGGGCTGCGTCAAATTCGTCTTGGAACATCGAGAACTGGCAAATGAGGATTTCCGGAAGCTCGACTTCAGCAGCATTCGGGTGCTTGAAGGTGATCTTACGACCCCCTAAATTATGCAAACACCCTGCAAGCAGCAGCGGGCACCCATCGTGGCGATTGTTTGCTGGAAACAAGATAGGACCGCTGCATGTTTTGCTATCGGGACACTCGTGCCCCAGAATCAGCAAGGCGAGTTCGTCCGGCTGGACACCCTGAAGCGTTGAAAGCAACTCTGCAGCAACCCCACCATCGACAAGCAGGAGCCCAGATGCACCTGGGGACACTGAGCTCAACAGCTGTGCGTGGGAGCCATCGGCGTTGAAGAAATGAGTGGCGGGCAACTTCACGTCCGCAGCGCAGGGAGCAGCTGGAATGGAGGGTTTTGCTTTGGCTTGTCGCTTTTTGCGCTGGTCGACCTTAGCAAAGTCACTTGAAGGGCTTGGACAGCTGACCCGATTTGCTTCAGCGAGGGACACAATGGCCTTCCATCTGTCCTTGGCGGGCACACTAACTACCTTGCCAGTTGCTTGCCTACCTGCTGCGTCCACAAGGGCATCAACGAAGAGCGTAGTTGCTTGCAAGGAAATACCCTGGGCAAGGGCGGCTGAGGCAAGTCGTGTTTTGGTCCAATTGTCTCCTTCGGTTTTTGCTCCGCCACCGCGGATTTCAGGGTGGATTGTGAGCACTAGAGAGCCGTTGCGTCGACGGACCACCTTGTGTCTGATGTCTGACAACAGATCTGCAACTGTGGGTTCACCTTCAAAGGGGAATGGGCCGGAGAACACTCTACACCCTTCAGGCAAGCTGTTCATGGCGGAAATGGTTTTCCAAAAGCACCCTAGCACGTCTGGTTTGAAGTCTGAAGGTAGGTAGCCTATCCAAACCCTTCGGGCCACTACCTGAACCTCGACCTGAACTGCGTCTTGGGACTTGGCATTCACAGCAATTGCATCCAAACAGGCAGTCACGAGCAATTGTCGCCATTGTCCTGGAAACAAGTCTGGAGGCATTGCCACTCTTTCAGGAAAAGGAAGCAACGTGACCAGAGTACGGGGAGGCTGGCCGTACGTGCCTGGCCAAATTTGAGCATCCCAACCAAGAGCTGAGAGGACTGACAAAGGCAGAGAAATCCACACTTCTGGCGCAAGCTCTGGCGGAATGCGGATGACATACCCTGACGAAACTTTTTCCAACGCAAGGAACGGGACATGCTTTGCCAATTGCTTTAATGGCACAAACGGGATTTCATCATCCTCAACCGCAGCCAGCATGCAATGAGAAAAAGCTTCTTCGTTTGCGATTCTCTGGCCGGCCAAGTTGAAGAGAACTAGAGTGCTGCCTTTAGCACCATCCAACTCCTGGTGAATTTGCAAAAGCTGAGGCCAGAGACACGGCGAAGTCAACTCGACAACATACATGTCTTGACTTGTGAGGATTGATGCAAAATTGTCACGCTTCTCAGTGCTGGCAACAAGCCCGCCCAAGTTCAAACAAATGTCACGCTGCACTTGAACTGTCATGGCCTCGAGTCGATGCGCAATATTCTCAGGCAAAAGAGAGATTGCTTGCGCACATCCCAAGTGTCCCAGCACATGGTCCGGGCGGCTGAACTTGGGGCCTTTAACAACGAGGGTCTTTGAAGGGCCTTGGATCAAGATGTCAACAAACTGGCTCATGTCTGGGTTGCGCAGCCAGTGCATGTTCCGGAGTGCTGTATCTTGCACGACGTCTGCAACATGGGCTTTGTTACACATCAGCCAGCCTTCTGAAAGCGGGAGCAGGAAAGTGTTCTCGCTGTGCAAACGCTGTGCTAGACACATCTTGACCGCCAACGGCGGCTCAGGCAAAGTCTTAATCCCCAGAGCTTGGGCTGCGTAAGTCAGACCCACAACCGCATGAGGAACCGCAATAGCATTCCCAAGCAACCTCATCTGGGTGGGGGTATCGGGGTGAAGGAAAACAGGTAGAACAGCTCCCTGTAACGATGCTATCTCGGGGCCAGCAAAGAATCTGTCAAGTCCCTGATGCCGAACCAAAAAGCCGAAAAGCCCCTTTGAGGAGATCTGATCTTCAGGAAGAAGGTGCTGCTGTTGATATTGTGCCATAAAACAACCAGCAACCCCTGTGGGCTTGCAGATTCTTTCCTTTTCGGGGTCTCGCGGCTCTTGACCGGCAGACCGGCTTGGTGGCAAATACCAGGGATCCATATACTTTTGCATGGTAAACTGATCGAGGAGACAGCTTTCCAAGATGGAGGGTGGCAGTGAAAACAGAGCCTTCGCACTGGCCAAGGAAGTTCGAGAAGCTTGACACCACATGACCTTATTCACTATATTCTGACATGCGCACGTGGAGTGTCGGAATAGAATCAAATGTCGACTGCGATGTGCTGGTAGGACATCAACCAAATCCATTGTATCCCTCCAAACAACAGAGTACCCATGCCCTTCCCATACTGCAAGAACCTGTTGATAATGCTCATGCTGTGTGAAGCCCGCCAACTGCTCTATGAGGACTACTGGAATCTGGAGGCCTCCTGCAACCTCTGCTGCCCTCAGAATCAATCTTCCGTCTTCCACCTGAAGACCTAAGGCTTTGGCTGCTGTGGACCAGGGCTGACAAGGCGGCGAGACTGCAAACACATTGACTGGCGCAATGGACTGACATCGCATCCACCAGTTCCGGCTGACATTCGCACAAACATGTATGGGTTCAACCGGAGACTCATGGAACTCATCCAAGTGACCAGCCTCTGAAACTACGAGAGTGGCAGGATGTCTACGGGTCTGCATGGGAACACACTCCTCGTCAATGTCCACAGTCCATCTCAAACTGACGGGAAGCTTTGCCTTATGCAAGACCCAGCTAGCCTGCTTCCACCCTGAAAATCCTCCAGAGAATATCTCCGCCACTGCCAAGCATTCGCCTGTGAGGACAGGCACTGTCTGAACCAAGACACTATGAATGCCGGTGCAATCCATGATCCACTGGGAGGCTTCTTCCCAAATCGCAACCTGTATTGCCTTCAATGGTCCTGCAGAACAACGGCACAAGTCCCAGTCTGAATGCCGGAGCCGAAGGACTACTGTGCGAGCCAGTTCATTCTGACAATGGAAAGAAGGATCATTGGGGCTAAGGACCTTTGCCCTCACGAGAACCGCATCTTCACAAATGTTGGCCTCCCCGTAATGCTGAATCAGATAATTCCGCAGGCAACTGCTTGATGTCGGCAGAAGTTCTGAAGCAAGCTGTGACAATCGAGACCACTCATCAAAATGGAACATCTCTGAATGTGGATAAGTCATGGCGCAATTTGCAGGACTACCCTTCCCCCCGGGCAATCCCAACGACCTCGCCACTGGTCGGCTTGCGCCTAAAGGCTCCTAAACCCTAAACCCTAAACCCTAAACCCTAAACCCTAAACCCTAAACCCTAAACCCTAAACCCTAAACCCTAACCCTAAACCCTAAACCCTAAACCCTGAACCCGTATGTGGGCTTCTTGGGGCGCCGAGGCTGGAATTTGCGGTTCGTAGAAGTTCGAGGGCAGCTGGGGGCCTTGCAAAGAAGCTGCAATCCTGTGTGCCCCGAGTTGATAGGTGCTAAAATAGGCCCTTGAACGTTCTAGATCTGTAACCTAAACCCTAAACTCTAAATCCCCCAAAACCTGACCCCTGAACCCCTTGATCCCATGTCTTACCGGCTTAGTTTTAAGGCCCTTTTCGGGGCTTAGGGCTTAGGGTTTGGGGTTGACTGCGGCAACCCTCAGGCAACCCCGCCGCGCAGAAGACAGGCGAGAAGAACAGGAAGATGGAGCCTTCCATGCTTAACAGGTGCTTAGGCTCAGGGAGGAGTTTAGGGTTCAGGGTTTAAGGTTTAGGGTTTAGGGTTTAGGGTTTAGGGTTTAGGGTTTAGGGTTTAGGGTTTCGGGCTTTAGGGTTTCGGGCTTAGAGTTGTAAGTTCCGGGTTCAGGGCGAATTCTCACCCAGGAGTTTGGGGGGGCTCCGGCTTTTTTGGAGGTTCTCATGGGCACTTCCAAGTGGGGGCCGTAAGTTACCTAAAAAAAGCTTAAGACCGATGAGAAGTGTAGTTACCCTGCTTGTAGCCCTACGTACTTGTTAAGTACCCATGAACCTCAGGGTAAGCGCAAGGGAGGGTTTCGGGTTTAGGGTCTTGGGTTTCGGGGTTAGGGCGAAGAGTCAACCAGGACGTTAAGGGGCTTCGGGTCGTCATCGTTTCGGGGGCTTCGGGGTTAGGGTTTAGGCCAGGCCTCCGCGGAAAAATGCCGTGTTGCCTTAGATGGCCTTCATCCCTCAACTGGTTCCTCCTCCTCATCACTGCTGTTCATACTGGCCTGATGAACATTGCTTCATTGCTGGCAGTACTCTCATTATGACTACCATGCTTACGTGCCTGACTCCGCAAGCTTGTAAGTCGTGGTGCTGTCTTGGCTCTCGACAGCGCTTGGGGGCTCGAGGTTGAGGAATTCCCTGAACCCTAAGCCCTAAAGCCCTGGAGCCCCTAAACGGCCCGACACCACCTGAACCCCCTAAACCCTACACACTTCGAATCCGAGGTTGCGGCGGACTTTGGGGGGGGGGGTAACAGGATTCTAGGCTTTAGGGTTTAGGGTTTAAGGTTTAGGGTGTAGGGTTCAGGGTTCAAGGGTTAAGGGGTTTAGGGTTTAGGGTTTAGGGTTTAGGGTCTAGGGTTTAGGGTTTAGGGTTTAGGCTTTAGGCTTTAGGCTTCAGGGTTTAGGGCTAGGGCTGCCTTTTATTTTAGGGCTTTCGGGTTTCAGGGGAGGGCTTGGGGATGGGGATCTGGGGGCGCCACCTACCAGGTAGTTCTTGCCCGAGAGGATCTGGTCCGTGCGGAGCAGGAGGAGCGTGATCCCGCAGAACACGAACATGCCTCGCGGCGGGGCCCCCGACGCCCCTGAAACTCGCAGAACTCTTTGAGGCCCTTAGACCCATGGGGTTTAGGGTTTAGGGTTTAGGGTTTGGGGTTTAGGGTTTAGGGTTTAGGGTTGAGAGCTTTAGGATAGTAACAGCCTGAACAACCTCAACCCCGCAAGATAAACCACCCTAGGAGCCCCTAAGGAGCCCCAAAACCAGCCCAAGAGCCCCTAAACCACCCTAGACCCCTAAGGAGCCCTAAAACCAGCCCAAGAGCCCAGAGGCTTGTTATTAGGGCTTCAGGGGCTTAGAGGTTCAGGGGTGGGTTCTTGGTTTCAAGGATTCAGGGATCTGAGAGGCTCCGGAGCTTACCGGTGGTTTAGGTGGACTTTGGGTGGCTAGTCACAGGAATGCGCTGCTTTTTTGCTGTTGTAGCGATTGAAGACGTTTGGCGCAAAAACGTAGCCTCCGCAAAAGCATGATTCAGCAAGATGCTTTGCAGGTCATGTGCATAATCAACATGCCTGCGCACGGAGCTACCATGAGATCCCCTAGTAACAGCTACATGTCCAGGGATGCACAGCAGAGAGGAACAACGCAGGCTGTGAGATTCTGGACGCCCGCGTAGGCAGCTCCTTGGATGTACCCGTACGGCATCGAACCCCAAAGTTCAGCTCTCTACGAAACCCTAAAATGTTCCCCCTTATACTGACAGTCCTCAATAGGCCGGCCTATTGAGGGCTGGTAGTAAAAAGGGGAACATCCCAACCCTAAACCCTAAACCGTATCCGGGTTTCCATTTGAACTCGGAGCCCGAAACAAACTAGGGGCCACGATCGTTTTTTGGGTGGGGGCGGCCCTTTGCGGCTCCAAAGCACAACCCTAGAGACATCTTTAGGGTTTAGGGTTTAGGGTTTAGGGTTTAGGGTCTAGGGTTTAGGGTTTAGGGTTTAGGGTTTAGGGTTTAGGGTTTAGGGTTTAGGGAGAAAGAGTTCAACAATCTAGAACCGAACCCGAAAACCTGACTCTAAACCCAAGCAAGAAGTCAAAACAAGAGGGTTGAGGAAGTAGGGCTTCCGGTTGAAGGATGTCCTAAACCCTAAACCCTAAACCCTAAACCCCCAACATGCAACTCGAGGCACAGTGCACTCGGCGGCGCTTCCTCCTTTGCATGCCGAGCCAGTGCTCCTTCTCCTTAGTTGTCCAGTAACCTGGGGGAATTAGGGGTTTAGGGTTTAGGGTTTAGGGTTTGGGGTTTGGGGTTTGGGGTTTGGGGTTAACCTTTGGGATTCTAAGGGGGTTATGCTACCCCAAAAAAGATAACCGTTGGGATTATCAGGGGGTTATGCTACCCCAAAAAATGTTAACCTTTGGGATTATAAGGGGGTTATACGACCCCAAGAAGGTCATACCTGCTCTCCTGCCAGGGCTCATTGTTCTCGGAGGGAAAGCTGCCCTCCATGTCCGACACCTGGCAGGGGTTCAGGAGATTATGGCGGGGTTTAGGGTTTAGGGTTTAGGGTTCAGGGTTCAGGGTTTCGGGTTTAGGGTTTAGGGTTTAGGGTTTAGGGTTTAGGGTTTAGGGTTGAGAGGCTTCTAGACCGGACACTTTAGTCCTTGCTGGGGTTACTATAGGGGGTACTAGAATCTCTCTTAAGGACTTTTAGTAGAAGGGGGAACATCGCAACTGACACTCTAGGTCCTTTCGATGACGTACGGCGTGTTCCTTCATTAAAGCGGTTTTGGGCTCTTTGGTGGTAGATGCCCAAGCTTGTGGTCCCTTCTCAGGGTTCCTGTGCAACCTGGAGTCTCATATATTGGGGCTCCTTCAAGGAGCTTCAGGTTTAGGGCTATGACACGGAGTCTTGTATTTTGGGGTTCCGGGAAAGGTTTAGTGTTTAAGGTGATAAGACGGGGTCTTACATTTTGGGTCCCGAAAAAAAAGCGACCATCGTTTAGAGAACTGCAGGCCTGTTTGAAGCCGTCCCGGTCGTAGCAGTGGCGTGCCTTTCGGTTCTTCTCCAGCACCGTCAGCGAGGTGTCGATGAACTTCCAGCCGCGGAGGTATGCGGACTTCCTTGCCGGCCCAGTGACCATATTAGAGGGTTTAGGGTTTAGGGTTTAGGGTTTAGGGTTTAGGGTTTAGGGTTTAGGGTTTAGGGTTTAGGGTTTAGGGTTTAGGAATAAGGGCACCCTTCTTTTTGGGGGGTTGGCTGCTGTAGAAGGGAACCTCTGAACCCCAAAAAGAGGACAAGGGCTGTGCTGGGCTGCCAAGTTTCTCACCGCAGTGGATGAGCATCTTTCCCACCCCGCGCCCCTGGTGCTCCCAGTCCACCTTCAGCTTAAGCTGCTTCTCCAAGAACCAGGGAGCTTTTGAAGGTTACAGGCTTAAGTCTGGCTTACTGCTCCTGCCAGCGGGAAGCCAGAAGGAAAGCAAACATGTCGACGCTTGAACTGCTGGCCAGGTGAGCTTACGGCTTTGAGGGTTCAGGGTTTCGGGTCCCGATCTCCGCCTTCAGGTGGCCGATGGTCAGGTGCGTGGGAACCTCCTTCTTCCTCCTTGGCTGCACTTAGGAGGTTAATTTAGCATTGTATATTTTTAGCTTCCTTATTAAGAAGCCCAATAGGACCCACAAAAAAGGCTCAGGATCTAAAGGTTACCGTAAAGCACCACAAAGTCTCATGCAGTGGACGTAGCCCACAAGGTTGCCCGTGGCCTTCTCCACCGCAGCGATCGTGAAGGAGTTCCGGTTATGCCCAAGGATGTTGTTCCTTAGCTGTCCAGTAGCCTAGGGAGCTTAAGGTTAACCTTTTGGGATTATATAGGAGTTGTGCTAACCCAAAAACAAAAAGGTTAAAGGTTACCTACTCTGCTACTGAGGTTCTCAATGATGCGGTAGTAGTCGTCGCTGTCCACTTTCCCCACACCTACCTGTTGGCACCAATCATGTGGCGACATCGTCGGGTACCACGGCTCCTTGATGAAGATTTCACTGTGGTCGAACACAAGCTCCCGCTCCTCACAGCAGGAATGGCTTCAGTGAAGGCAGGCTCCCTGTGCTTCACACGGCACACTGCATGAAAGCAAAATTGCAGGATGCATCAGGATGCGGAAGACCAACCGAAGCCTGAAAACCCTACCCTGACATCCTAAACCCCTAAGACCCGAAAAACCAAAAACCTAAAACCCCCCAAAGCTCACCAAAACCCACAAACCCCAAACCCACAAACCCCAAACCCCCAAACCCTGAACCCCTAAACCCTAAACCCCCAAACCCGAAACCCACAAACACATCCCTAAATGGTCACTTCTGCAAGACATGGTTCCTTTCGGGGTCCTTCTCATAAGGCGGCCACTCTTTTTTCACCCCAAACCCAACCCTAAACCCACAAACCCAAAACCCCACAAGC